GGGCATTTGGCAACTCAGAGGAGAAAAGTATGTTCAGTGGTATTTTTTTTCTTTGTCAGAATTATGAAGAACAGTGTGTGGGGAGTTTCTCTCCCTTCCTGCTTATTTTATTATTTTGTAGAGTCAGTTCAGAGTTCTCCTTGAAAGATGACTTGTTACAATCTCACATCTTCATATCCACAGACCTGACCTTTAGTAACATGATGTATAGTAAGTGATTTATATGTTGCTTGATTTCCACAGTTGATAGAGCCTTATTCTTGGTGCAGTGCATACTTGTAGTCTTACAAATCACAGTTGAGAGTTTGCACTTTTTATAGGCATTTCCTCTTGAAAAATTTTGGAGTAGTTACTTGTTGCCTTGCTTCATCTTCTAGCACACCTGAGGTATATAAGCAAACAGATTCTCAGTTCTGCTGCAAAGTCTAAGATGCAGTGATTTATCAATACTGCATACTGGAAATACCAAAGCAATTCAGTGAGGATACCAGACCCTGATGAAAATAACCCTTACAATTTTTTACCTTGTTATTTATATACCTGTGTTGACTATAGATAAAACTTTGTTACTCTTTCTAGCATTTTTGAGTGCAGTATATTTTGCCAGCTCAGAATTGATCTTTGGTGCACACTCTGCAGAGCATGCTGGAGATTGTTATCTTCATTTCATCAATAAAGGGACAGTTGGAGGTCCTGATGTCAGTGAAGAAGAGGAAACAGGCTGCTTTAGTCTGATTGTGTGTGAACAGCTTTTGAGAGAAACAAGACATTGCTGCTGTTTGCATATATCAAGGAGATAACACTTGGCTGAGTGAGTAGATGGTTTCCCTTTTGTCCATCATGTATTGTTTAAAATTTTCACCCATTGTCTGGCAGGAATCCTTCCTCCCAGTTTGCTGGACTCTCACCCCTCTCTCCTGTTGATCAACTAGTTTGAAAAATGAATTGACGCACCCTTGGTGTCACAGATCTAATGTCATTACTCTAAAGAAAGGATATGCATTCCAAACACCAGGGAAGTCCACATGCATACAGCACAGAGTTGATCTGCACTTTCACTGTAGCCTCGGTACATAGCGCACTTTGCAATCACAGTTTCACCAGAGTGAGGAAGCCACCACTAGTTCAGTCAGCAGATAATTTATGAGCTCAAAATTGTCCTTTCAAGTATGGAGACCTGAGAAAGACTTTTTTTCAATGTCAGTTTTGGAGTACAGGTAAGTTATTACTGAATGAAGTCCTATGTTTGATGCAGTGAAAACACTGTTTGTTTTTGTTTATTTGTTTTTAATTAAATCACAAGCAATAATGTTGTGTAGGGGCTGGAAGACCAAGTTTACAACTGTCACATTGTAAACAAATGGTCTAAGATTTTACCAGCTTACACAGTACAGTATTTTGTTAGTGCTAGAGCCAAAATAAGCATACTACTTGTCTTATCTATGCCTTTTCATAATGTTATCAAGATTGCAGCAATTCGTTGTCTGGCATTTGTAAATCTGCCTGCCAAAAACAGTGTTCATTGAGTACTCAGTCTTGTGCATAGCTACAAGGAGAAATAGTTCTGGTGGCTCTGGTCAGCCATCAGTATCTGGCTGGTGGTGAAGGCACTGCAATATTTCTGCTGAGGTTTAGTCTTTGGAGAGGCCCGAGTGTTTCATACGTGAAAGGTCTTGAACATACACATTTGTAAGATCTCAGCTCTTTGTTTGTCTCTAGTTCTGACATTTCTTTGTTGTGTCATTTGTTTGACTGTGTTGGCAGTATGCTGTTGTATTGGTGGTGTCTAGCATGCATTTTCATGACTATAACATCGGTAAGTTTTGTGGTACAGTAAGGAGTGGAGGATTGTGATCTCTTCCTCAGTGGACAGTAGTAGATAGGAAATAGTGTCTTTCATAATGAAATAATATAAATAAAGTAATTAAAGGTGATTAACAAGAGAAGAATACAGTTAAATATGCTGATTTTTAAAAATAGGTAATGTTCTTCAAATGCCATCAGCATTTTGAATTATAAATGTATTTTAAATGCCCAAACATGAAGAAATTGAAGAATTTTCATGCAAACAGCTTTAGCCTCATGGTATTCCCTGGTTGAATGAAAGTGTCTGTTATGCATTGTTTTGATTCTGGACTTTTTCTAATCTTCAGCTGAGAGACTGTGACAATACTTATGAAATCTGTTTAGTTTTCAGTACATGTCAGACACTATAGCTTCAGATCCTTTCTTCAAGAGACACAATAAAAAACAGCCTCATTTACTGTTTGCTATGAAAAAACACTTGGCATCACTACAATGAATTGAATTTTTCCATGTCTTTTGCAATGAAAAGAAAGCAGTAAGAATGTGAAAAGCTAGCAGCAGGATGCTCTGAGGTCAAACAAAATAGACTAGCATAGAATATTTTACTCAAACTGCTCATGAAATATTAGTAAGGCTTTTGTATAGCACAATTTTGCAGATTTTAATCAACATATTAGTTGGTTGCCAGCCTTCAGAGGCCTTACCTGTCCCTAATGCCTAGTTAAAGGTCAGAGGGGGCATGATTCATCCATGAGGTGTGTTGTCATCGCCCCATCTGGGCAGGAGAGTCCCACCTGCGGTGTCCTAATTTCCAGACAGAGGCACGATTGGCTACATCGGCTCCCTGCCTTGCCAGGGATTGGCCAAGCCAGTCACCTCCTCTCTCTCATCTTGCTGAGCACCCGTGCTCCTGAGCTGCATCTCATCCACGCTGACCTCTGAGGGACCGGAGGATGCCCACACATCAGCGTTTGATTGATAAGGTGTGTTGCTGGGGATGTGGTAGACAGGGTGCACACCAACTGGTCAGGGTTCTTCTCAGCGGCTAAAGGCTATGGCTTACCAGGAATGTTTAGGAGGAGAAAAGAAAGGAGAAAAATACTCATAAAGAATCAGTTGGAAAGGACATATGGGACCAAGTGTTGAAGTGCTGGCGGTATAGATGTGTCAGAACTGTTGTTTTTTTTTCAAATGACACAAAAAGAATTTATCTTATTAGTGAAATCCTCTATGTTTAAGGGCTTTTAAAACAACTTTTGTTTCAGTGCAGAAGTTTGCCCAAGGCAAAACCACCAAAGTGTCTCTTCCCAGGTCCACTAGATTTTGAATGCAGTAGCAAACTAAATACCACTCAGATTTAATTGTTGACCTGAAGTCATATTCGACTAAATGAAGACGAGGATTCTTAATGTAGCATCTCTCAAATGCTGCAGAGATGAGAGTCGTAAAGGCTGATGGGAAGATGAAACTATCTGTGATTTTAAAAAGAATTAGAATTTTTCCATGTTATGAAGGCAACTCAGATAAGAATATTCAGATGGAATTGACCATGTATACCTGAAAGAACCAGTTATTTTTTCTCATTAAGATAGTTAGAATCTTGAAAATTTTTTTTTCCTTGAATTCCGTGCTTTTATTTAATAAATAATTACCATCCACTTTATTTTATTTTTTTTTTTAGCATTTTTCTCTTAAAAATATGTACATTTTTGTTGGAAGATACCGTAACTTCATTGAATAGATACTGGAATTCAAGTCTGGACTTGGAATTTTGTAAAATGCTAACATCTCTTCCTCATCTCATTCTCAGTTCCAAAAGATGATATCATGAGACTTTTAGGGTAGCCCTCTAATTCTTTACACAGACAGCTAATGCAAAGAGAAGACAAGTCAGCCATTTTTCATCTGCTTTTGTTTCTGGATGTATTCTTACCAGAAAAAGGAGAAAGAAGAGGTTTCAGAATTTTCCTTTCAAGGAAGAGTGCAGCTCTGGATTTTTCCAATCCCAGCTAAGAACTCTGTGCTTTGAAGTAGAACATCTAGTTAAAAACAGATTTTTTCCACCTTAAGCATGAGTCAGAGAAAGATTTCAACAACACGTACTCTAGCTCATATTAAATCACTGTTTACCACATCTATTAATATAATAGCACCTACGTACTGTACTTAAAATTTAATTAGAGGTGGACTATGTTAAAATAGTTGCAAGAAATTGGACAGCCGCACCCAGCAAACTGCGATACCAGGAAAAAATGCTTACAAGGGTCCTATTTAAATGATATTTTCAGGAGAACTTAGGGAGGGGTATGCTCCATCTGCTTTAAAGGCATGGTAACCAGCATATATAACTTTCCTGATTGCTGCACTTATTGATTGTGACACTATGCAAGCCTTTATCATCTTCTTGTAGGAAATCTTTTAAAGCTTCAGTCTGCTGATTCACAGGCTTTTTAAAAATTAGGTTCACTTGAGAGATAAGCGCAAAAATAAATATTTGTTGTGATGATTTCCACCCACGCTCTTCCTGGTTATTCTGTTCTTTGTTTCAGTTAGCTCATACCAAACCAAATGATCTTATGTGTTCATGCACGAGTTAGGATGCACAGGAAGATGTTACGAATTGGCTGCATCTCATACATTGTGTTTGAAATGCTTCCAAAGAACTGTAAGGTCTTATGTTAAACCCTTCAGGAAACAATTATTTTGGAAAACTGAGAGTTCTACGTGGCATTTAACTGTAGATTTCTTGGCTGTTGTTTGAAATGGGAGTAGGCAAAGCAATCAAAATAGAGCTTGTTAGTCATGGTTATCGCTACAGAAAACAGCTTGAGAGAACAAGACTTAAATTTTAATTCTTGTATGAAGATCTGGGCTAAATCTGCCAGCTCAACAATGTGGAAGTTTGTGTAAGTTCTTTTTGACTCTTAAGCCATAATGCAGTTATGGATTGCTGTCATGTAACCAGAGAATTTAAGATTCAGTTAATAATTCAGTGTTTTAAAATGAAAGCACTCATTCATTTATTGCACTGTTTTGTCAAGGTCTACATGTACTTAATTTATTTTCTTCCAAGTATATGAATGCAACAAAGCCAAGCTATCTAGGTTTCTTCTTCTTCTTACTTTGGAGAAAGGCAGGTATTTGTTAGCAACTACTAAAAAGCAGCTGCTATAATCTTTCCTTCTTTTCCACAGATGAGGAGACACTTCTGCTTAGTTTTTTTGTTCTGTGGGATATTTCTGCCCAGAATCTTTGGTTTTCCACATGCAAATACTTCAATTGATTGTGACTCTCTGTTACCAAACTATGAAGATGAACCACAAACATCTCCACCACCATATATTATTGCTGTATCTTTTGATAGCTTTGAACCAGGAAATGAAATCCAAGGTAAAATAGTCTGAATGACCTAAAATCTTTGTGTCTTCTACAACTACCAATCTTAACCAGGATTGCCCCATTTCGCTCTTGATGTATCTAATTATTTTTTTATTTCAATCTTATTCATCTGTATTTGAGATGTTTCTTTTTTTTAATGTTTCATGTATATATATGTTTTCACATTTATATCTATAGAATTAAAACTATATTCTCAATTTATTTTTTTCTTTTCCCTCTCTGATAACTATATTTTAACTTCACGTTGTAAGTTTTGTGACAGAATTAAAATCCTATGAGACAGCTGGTCAAACCGGACTAATAAATTGTTGCTGTCTAACATTCTGTTTGGGCATTTGCAGTTGTATCAGCTGTGTGCAATGCAGAGAGATCCTAGGGGTGATGGTCATGCTGTGAACTTACAAGAAAATAAAAACTCAGGATACTGTCTATGACAACTCAAGAGTGAAATGCTTTGAGTCGTGCTTGTAAGAGTCACATCCCAGATTTTATCAAGTTGCAGGAGGTGGGGCTATTTGGCTTTTTATCTTCCTAATCTGAGTTACTCTCTGGACAGCCTTATTTCTCCACACTATGCTGCCATCTCATGGTGCTGTCATGCTTTAGTGACGTGAGAGTGCTTCTTTAATCATTTGGTATAACAAATACAGAGGCAGAAGTGAGTTATAATGTATCTCATTTTCATTGTTGGATCTCTGTAAGCATTGTTCATAGCAGTTGCTCTGCTGGGCTTCTGTTTTGCCTGATGTCTGTACACAGATAGGTGTCCATGGCAAATGATAGCTAGGGAGAGGAAAGGAGGACTAGAGTCCTAACTCTCATTCTTGGAAAAATGCATTTGAATAACTCCTTTAAGAATAGGATTGCTGTTTGATTACTGAGAGCTGTTTCTAAAACACTATTGCCAACAGAATGGTGGACAGACTTTAAATGTATGCAGACTGTTCTGTGAGGTTATACTAGATCTATTGAGACTAAGATATTAAATCCCAAATGCTACTAGTTTTGATGTGTGGTTAAAAAAAAAAAAAAGGCTAAAAACACTTTAGCACCACATAATTAAGTTTTTTACTCACAAGGTGGTGACGCACTGGAACAGGTTGCCCAGAGAGGTTGTGGATGCCCCATCCCTGGAGGCATTCAAGGCCAGGCTGGATGTGGCTCTGGGCAACCTGGTGGTTGGGAACCCTGCCCACAGCAGGAGGGTTGAAACTAGATGATCCTTAAGGTCCTTTTCAACCCAAGCCATCGTATGATTCTATTGCATCAAGTTGTAAGCATCCCATACTTATTTTCAGTAGGCTGCCCTTCCAATGAGTGTATTGCTCCTATTGCACCCATGACAGGCCATATGGCAAAACGTACAGTTGAATCTGTGCTTCCTTTAAAGTGTTGGGTGCCATCCCACCTATGCAGTGAGTTAGGACTGAAATTGATGGCAAATTGACAGGCTAATTATACAGGTGTTTTGAAATGTTGAATTGTTTAGATATGATTGATTTCTGCTTTGACTGTCATTCCCAGTTTATCTATTCTTATCTACTGACACTAATTTTTAAGCAGTACCACGCATCTACATAGTCAAAGGATTGTTCTGATCTTATTTGTGAAAGTGCTTAATACTGGCATTACCTGAGCACATTTATGATACGTCATAGCAATTCTGATATTGCTTCTTAAAACTTAGTTTCAGTTTGGATACTCATAATGTGGAACTGCCCTTTTCTGCAGTTTCTGTGTTTTCATTTCAGTTCCTTCAGCAGTAAAATTGTGTGTAATTATTGATTTTTCATTTTGAACTAGGAGAGACAAATTGTTTACCTTTTATTTTTTCCAGTTGTAATACATCAAAAAAAGAAGGTTCTGCAATTCAAACTAGGCAAACATTTTTTTGTTTGCTTGTTTTGTTTTTTAAAAGAGGTAGAAAAAATGCAATGCTCTTTCTCAATGTTGACTTTTGTGGGCTTAATTAGACAGAAAATAAATAACATTCTAGTCATCAGGACCATCATTCTGGTATGTAGGGGAGCAAATCAAATTAATTAGAAAGGTCTGGTCATTTAGTAGGGCAGAATTACTTTTTAAAATTGGCGGTAGTTTTCCCATTACTTTCTAATACACTTATTTACACTCAAATGCTTCTTCAAACTTCTTTCCCTTTGTTGTCAGTCTTGACAATCAACAAGTACTGTAATAAGTCTTAATTTTTTTTTTTAAGAATTGTAAAAGATTTTAACTTTTAAGAAGAAGTTAACTTCTGTACGTTCGGTCATGTTCTGGAGGGTGGGGGAAATTAAATGTTAAACATTAAAGTGGTTTTGATAATATATGAAACTTAAATTTCTCAAAATGTCTTTTATCACAGTGACCCTAGAAGCCCTCAAAGATGTTGGATTTAAAGAATTTAATCTACAAGCTCGAGAAACAGGAGGAGATGTTCCTGTTGGTACTTTCAAAATTACAGATCCAAACACAAAAGGCTTGGAATGTCATAACATCACGGTATGTGTCCGCTCTTGGCAAAAGTTCTAATGGAGAAAGACTCATGAAAACCAAACATAAGAACTATCTGACAATAAATAGGACAATTAGAAGGACATCAGCATTACCTGATGTAGTAAAGACAGTTACCCAAGTATAGATAAAAATCACTTTTCTCTTATATAATTATAATTTCTTTTTAATTGCAGAATTCAGCAGTAAGTCATGCAAATTCTGATCTGAAGCAGAAAATTACAACAACATGGATTGCTCCAAATGATGTTAAAGAACTTCAGTTCATGTAAATAATATTTCTTTTTCTTTGCCTTTAAAATTTATTTCTATGTGGATTCTGACATCCTTTTTTTGTCACAGGCATTTTTGTTCCATAGTTTGTCATAAGTGTTCTGGAAAATGATTCCATTCTTTTCAAACTTCTCCATGGCTCTAAAAATTGATATAGATTATTTTGACTGAGGGAGGAAAAAAAAGCATTTATTGCTATTTTATTCTGAAGATTTTTTGTTAAAAGATAAGTAAATAGCTTTATTTCCTTTGCAGTGCAACTGTTGTTCAAGATCTAGAGAAATTTTGGGTTGGAATTGAAAGCAAAACTCTCATATCCACGCATTCTAAGTCAGTTAATGGGACAGGAAAAAGTAAAAGGAAGGTAAGTTTTGAGTTCATTCACATACTAGAAATTTCTACAATCAGTTAAAATATCTCTGACTTGATGCCAGGTATACATTTGATGTCATGTGTTCATTAAGATGGCCGTAATCATCAGATGTTTTCAATGCTTTTAACTGCTTAATCTTCTTACTAAATTGACAAAAAAATTATAGTGAATAGTTCTATCTCCCATAGAAGCAAAGAAGCAAATAATCTAGTTATCAAAATAATATACGTTACAGAGAAAAAGGAAAGGTGGTGATAAAAAGGGCTCTGCTTTTCTTCTGCTTTTCTTTTGTTATATACGTTCCTGCTGCCTCTATTCCTGGAACTATAGCCATAAATAAATATTATTATAAATTTATTTGCTCATTTATTTGTTATGGACCAGGAATTGTTTATATTATGCATCTTAAACAAGATAAGCAGCTTAAGTAAACAAAATATTTTCAAATCTGTAATGTTGGTCTTGACTGGAGCAGCCCTGATTTATGTCATCTTATGATTTAACTCTGCCTGAACACTTATCCTATCATCTTTTGCTTCACCAAATGTTAGTTCAGATAATCTTTTTTTTCCTTAACTTGTAACTGTTTCCTCTTTTTTCCTTTTTTTTTTTTTTTTTCCAGCTCATGATAGAAATTGAATGCAGCAAGGTAAGAACAAAGTATTTACAATTTCACAGACTTCCATTACCTCAGTTTTGGGATTCCTGTCTTGTTGGTCCAGTTATTTCATAGTTGCAGCATAAAGGTTTTATCATAGTATCCAAATTATTTTCCTAGAGAGAACTTTACATTTTTGTACTTAATTTTGGAACTATTTTAGTGAGATAATGTTAAATATCAAGTGAGATAATTACAACAGGTAAGGTATTATAAGCAATCAAGAACTGACTCAGGCCACAAATGTGAATTCTGTTTAGTTTATTTTTAGAAATCACTTGGTATTTGTAAAAGAATCATCAAACAGTAACTTGAACCTGTAATTTCTTACAGCGTGGAGGGACGTACACCAGGCAAGGCGGATGTGTTGTGGTAGGTATTATTTTTGTAAAGATATCAATTTACTGCTACTTGTTTAAAAAAAAAAAACAAAACACAATTGTGTGCAGGGATGTGTGTGTATATACATATATATATGTATATATATAAAAACCTAGACAAAAGCTGCTTCTCGTCTCATCTTTATCCCTTTGTAGTTCAATTTATTTTTGCTCTATCTTGATAGTTGTACTACTTCTTTGTTTATACATCTTTCTAATATTGTTTATTTTAATGGCTCTAAAGCATCATACTCTTCAAATCATCATATAGATATATACAACCTATTTGATTTTTTCCCCTGAAAATTGTCATTCAGCTCAGTGAAAAAACCTCTTTCACTTCTTTCCCTCCTCACACAAAACATGCTCTGCATTTCGTAGTGTCTAATGATTATGTAGTCATATCACTAAAAAGTTTTCATTTGAATGTTGCATAATTTGACACTAATGATCTTACCAGTTGAGACCTGCTTCTCAATGATGGATAAGCTATATGAGGACAGGTTAAAAGAGAAGTGATGTGGAAGTGTTCTACGGCAAGCAGTAGAATTATGTTAATTTATACCAATTGAATAGAAAATAGAAATCATTATAATAGTATTGAAAGAATAAAGTCACAGTAAAACTACTTTGTGTTTTCTCCTTTTTCCCACAAGGTGGATCTTTCTTTCCTGAAAGTGATTTATATGAAAATCAATGTGCTTGAATGAAAGTAACATTTTGATTTCTTTACAGGTTCAACCTTCCGGTTCCTCTCAAAGCAGCTATTCTAGTGGTCAGGTAAGGATCCTAATTTCCTATGTACATTTTCCTTCAGTAACCTTGAACAAATAAAGTTTGAAAACACTACTGAGGTGATAAAATGTCTCTGCTAGTTAAGAGAAGGCCGAAGTTGTTCTTCCAGTCAAATGTATGTAGGCTGCGCTGTGGAACTCAGTAGTTTGCTGACAGCATTTTGACCTATTAGCTGTTTCACCACCTCTGATTTCAAGCATTAACCAAATTTACTGAGCATTAACCTGACCCATGGGAGAAGGAAAAATTTCTTCCATATTTCTATAGGATTCCTACCTGTGCATATGCATGTTCATCGAAATACAAACTTTGAACATCCATATTTTAGAGACATCTGGTTTAATGAAAATGTACTCGTTTTTAATTAATTTGTCGGGCATTTTTCTAATTTCATATTTTGGTAATCAAAAGGAGCAATAGTACTTTCACAGTCTTCTCTACAATTTGCAAAATTTCTCAAAACTTTGTGAGATATTCATGCGTGTGTTAAAATGGCAGTATGTTGTCTACATCACTTGTTTCACAGGTTTACATTCGCAGTTGAATGTTTAGGGATTTCATTGCCTGGTTAGCCTTTTAAAACTTCTGACATAAATACATCTGTATTCTTGCTGATCACTTGAATTTTTTTCAGTCAGATAAATGTATAGTCAGATCAGGGTGATTGTATTTTTACATTGCATGCCTGTTTGTATTGTCAAATGCTTTCTGACATGTCTCTAAATTTCTTGAACTGAGCTTCCCAAGGATATATTTCTAACTACTTACCAATAATTATATTTATTAGTGAATTATCTGCTAAATTTGGCCATTTCCATTACTTGTAAGGGGAATTACCAGACTCGGAGAGATTACTTTGACTTATGTGCTAAATTTAGACTTTTCTTCATTGTGTTTCTTTTATTCATAATACATTCTCTTTTCTAAAGGCTATTTTTTTCATCTTGTCATATAACTGCCTGAAATTATTATTTTTATTCTAAAATATGAGTCACTTAGTATAACACCCATGAACTTTGAAAGGCTGCCTGACCAATTACAGTGTTATATGAAATCCAGAAGATGGCTAATGTTTCATAATAAAATAAGTGTTCCAGACAGTTGTGATTGAACAGGTAACTTCTGCATTTGCTTGTCCCACGGGACAAGATGTTTGTGCACATTTTCAGCTGCTTGGCTTTTTGTGCCATAAACATCAGGAGTTTTTCTGTTGTTTTTTTTCTTCTTCTTTTTTTTTTTTTTTAAATCATAGGAATAATTTATTGTTTGGTGTTTGTTGTTTTTTCCTTCAGAGTGGAACAGTCTACACAATAAGCAAGAGTGGATGTGTCCCAGTAAGAACTGTTCTCATATTTACTTTATTTGTAGCTGATGTAACTGTATTTATAGAAACTTAAATTATGTTATTTATGTAAGTATTCTTTAGAAATTTCTGTTTCAAAAGGAAAATAATGGAGAAAGCTAGAAGAAAAGTGTTATGGTTTATTCAGTGGTATGAAGTAGTTGGGAAACTGGGATGTTACAAAGCTTTCTAGAAATGTATTGCTTTTAGTGGAAAAAAAGGACTGGAAGGGTTACGTTTTGCACTGAGGGGTTATTGTTTAGAACTGAAGTAACGCTCATCAGACAAGTTCTCTCTTTTCAGTAGACAAGACTGGTTGAAATTGGTCTACACATTCTAAATTGTTCCTCTTCTTGGAATTCATGATACAGATATCTACAATAACTAAGGCCATTTCATCTCACATGTGGCATGGGTACATGTGAATTTATTAATTCTTTCAGAAATCAGTCAGGGATGGCAGAGTGCTGTAACATGTTGCTGAGCAGCTCAAACACTTCTCAGAAGCATTTGTATTGAGATGATGACTGTGGTCATACAGGCTAAAATATTTTTATGCCATACAGTGGAAATTTTAATTTCCTTTCAGCATTTACCAAATAAGATCTTTATTTTTCAATTTTTCAAAGTGACTTTGTTCAAATGTTTTCTCAATATGTAAAAAAAAAAAAAAAAAAAGAGGAAAAAGCTTGAAAGGTAAATGAAATACTGAAATTAACTCTTTTTATGTCATTGACAGTTATTTCCTTGTTTATCATATTATGACCACTGTAGTTGTAATGCTAAGCACTCACAGTACAGTAGTTGAGACTGCTCAGCACCAATAAGGACAGTTTCCAAAAGTGTGAAACATTCATGTCATTAGTTCCTGTAAAACAAAATATGTTTTGGAGTGTATTGCAGTTTTACAAAGGAAAAACAGAATTAAGTTTTGTGGGAGTTATTGCGTTTATTAATAATAGGAGACTTGCTTTATAATGGGAACTATTACTATATATGCTGGACCTTCTTATTTTTATATTTCATTGTCTCTGAATAAGGAAAGAGTTTCCTCTTCTTTATATTTAGTTTCAGATTCCTAATTTTCCCATCTCTCTGTGGGTATATATTACATGGTCAGTGTTTGAATTCCAAGCATTTTTTTAAATCCTTACCATTTATTTCTATTAATTTCCCAACAGTGGGAGTTTTAAAATATTTCTTGAATTCCACTGTATGTTCCCTAATACATAAAGTGATAGTGTGCCTTGCTCTTACTTATGATGTGTGGGTGTTCACACATTAACAGTATTAATTGTATTCTCCTTATCATCTGTTCCTTACAAATTCCATGTAAGGATCAGTTAAAACTGAGATTGTCTGAAGGTAAGGTAGATATGGCAGAGAAATAACTGCTTGGTCTGTTTTCACCCTAGGGAGGTGCTGCCAATGCGTATAGCCAGAATGCGTGTAAAGATGTAAGCTGCTTATAAGTTTACTTATTTTTACTTGTACTTTTTTGCTTACTTATTTACTAATTACTTATTACTATGCTTGTGCTTATTCACTCACCTCCTGATTGCGGATTGCAGTACATTTATTTATACGGAGGTAGATTATTTTTCCTAAATGTATTAAAGAAAATGTTGGTGATCTCAGGTACTATTCTGAAACTCGTAGCAAGAATTAGAAGTATTACACATTCACTGTCTCAATGAAGTCTTGTTAGTCTACCAAAATTTTAGAATTCCTTCTAAGTTCTTAATGCGTGTGATCTATTAGTGCAAATCTGATCAGATATTGCACAGTAAGTCCTGTAATTTTTCTTAAATGATCTTTGTGTTTAAATCCAACAACTCTATATTTAGTAGGGATATGAACATAATCAATGTCATTTCTTTCCTTCTCAGTTTAGGGAAAAAAGTATTTTTAACTCTTATTTTCTATTTTAAAAATAATGAAAGGATGTAAAGAGTCCATCAGAAATATGATACGTTTTATACTGCCTGTTTTGAAATGAAAACTTAGCTAAGAAAAACACACAATCATGTGCTTAACTTTGGGTGTAAGATTTGTTATATTAACTCTGGAATATTAAATTGTTATTATACTTATTAAATTATTATCTTTGTTTAATATGCAAGTATAAATAAATTTCATTTGTGATATAGTAACATTAATTTTGTGACTATAAGAATGCTTGAAAAACTTTACTGCTGTCAGGCAATTTCAGAATAATTTTGTGTTACCTTTGATTTGTTAAGTATTTAAAATTAAGTTCACTTGAAGTGTAAATACTCTAAGGAGAAAAGCAAAGACTTGAGGATATAGTTAACCAATGATTGTGGACATACAGAACTGATTTATGTTTTGTTTTCAGAGTGCGTCCTCGTATGGCAGTCTTACCTACGGCCAGGTAACTGTGCTCTCCAACATGCTTTCGTTGTCAGCATATTAAGCAGCTGCAGTCAACTTCTCCTGAATAATAATAAAATATATGGAAGGGAAAAAGGGTCTTCAAATAGTTACCTATTCTATCTGGAAATGACTTCAATAAACGGTTTATACATTTAGAGTACACTGCAATATCATACCTGTTAGAAGATATTTACCTTTGTTTTGTGGCTTTACCTATGTAATTGTATTTGTGGTTTGATAAAATAGAAGAATTTGCACGTTATGTAATGCTCTATTTGAAACATTTGTATTCTTATGGTGTTTCCTATTTATACCAGCTTGTGTTTCAACAGTAGATTATTTTTTCAGTGGCTGTCTTATTGATTTTACTTTTTTTTCTATGAAGTTTAGTAAAAGAGATTCATTTTTTTCTACCAGCAGTTATTTTTATTACCAAAAAACATTTTAGTGTTTGAGAAAAGAAATAAAACAAGTGTCTTACATCTGTTGTTCATTTGTCAGTTACCTGTACATTCTTATTTTCCTTCAAAATGTTATTTTGTTTAGGAATCTAGGAAAATACTGTAATTATCTGTAACATTCTTGTGCAAGATAGTGCTGTATTTAATTTGTCAAACAAACCTAAGCAAAATATGTTTTCCTGTATTCTTTACAGTCTGTTCCTGCAAGCAGTTCAGATTCCAGTAAGAAGGTAATAGTGTCTTTTCTTTTTAATTCAAAAGAGAAAGAATTCACATGGTTGTAACTTGGCACGACTTCTTTATTTTTGTGGTACTATTAGAAATTTTTGATTTGTATGAGTGGAATCAGTTTGATTCTTCATTGCCATATGCTGCTTCTCTGTGCAGCAGTGCTTTTGTTCACAGTTGACTTACCTGTATCTAAAACGTTAAAATTTCACAATTTTTTAATAGATATTTTTTAATTTAAAAAATAGGGTTTTGATTGTGATGTAAATGGGCGTTTTAAGGGTACAGATTTCTAATGATTTTTAAGGTAAGTCTGAGAAAATGAAATCGATAAGAATTCATGTATTTGTCTCTTAATATTTACACAGACTATTCCTCTCAGTCCATTCCCCAGAAAGCTCAGAGCTATGACCAATAAACATACACTGTGACCATTTGTCTTCACAGTTAATTTCATTGCATTTAAATTTCCTCTTCCTTTCAAACTGTACTGATATTCTTTGATAATTTACATTTCAAGAAATTCTGCCTCCTTTATGTTAGAATTCTTTAGTTGTGATAACATCAGCTCTTCCTTTCTACACCACTGGATGATATTGTTTTCAGTTAAAAAAAGAAAAGCTTCTGATTGGAAAACATGAATACCTAAGCAGAAGGCACGACTATTGCATTCAAAGTTATTAAAAAAATGAAGCCAGTATTACTCCTGTAGTGGAACACTGAATATAACTGGATTGGTCTTCCACCTCTTGGTGGACAGTAAAAACATCATATATGTGTGTATAAGCCAGTGGCTGTAGTACATTTACAGCTGAGTCACTGTCCGAATGGAAGCAAATCTCCGTATGCTCTTGTGTATACATTCTTCTTTCATTGCAAGTGTACATTAAGAATTTTTGTTAAAAACAGTAATACTTTGTAAAGGTGATCATCCATAGTGCCATTATCTATGCTTGTAAATTTAGAGAATTCAGCATTTTTTGTTTTTCGAACGCATTTAAAGAAAGCCTGTGATGAGTAAACAAACAGCTCTCTCCGTTCTGTCTGCAGATAGTGGTCATCCCCAACAGCAACCCGTTTCCACCTGTGGTAAGCAGTTTCTCTCTACCACTCTCAAAGCTTTGACTCAAAGAGCATTTAAGTAGCTTCATGTTTTAATTTGTCAGAAAGATTTCTCATGCATATGGAGACAAATCTTTCTCACACAGGGATTATCCTAGGATCATAATTACTTCTGGGGAAAGACAATAGTGAGATAGTAACTGCATCTACATGATACGACAGGCCGAGTATTTGACCTGAGTCATGATTCTATGATTGCTGTTACCACTTCCAGAGATATTTGATTAAGCTCAGATTCCACGTGTCTTGATATATATAATATCCGTGTTTCTGAGTAGCTTTGGTTTTCTGCTTCCACTGCAATTTTTTTTGTAAATTCACTTCTATTCTTATTTTTAAAGTAGTAGATTTCCACTTCACTTACTGGCTCATAATCAGCCAAAAGAAGGTTTTTCTTTAATGTGGTTAAAGTGAGTTTGTATGTCAAAATTGATACGTATGTGTGTTTCTTTTGTCTGTCCTCTTCCTACTCAAACTTGTTCCAACCTGAATGAATATTAAAATCAATTGCTAATCAGTTATCCTTCCTGTATCTTTCTTCCACATTTGGTCGTGTATTGCACCGAAAAGACAGGGCCCTTTTTGTGCTGCAAAATCTTGCTTAGACAAGCCTTTGTGCAGAATACTTAAAGATTTTTGTTTTCATTTGCAGCGTCATACTTATCCCCAGGTAAGCATACTTTTTTTTTTTTTTTAAATGATTTCTCTAATGGTGACATATGCCTTGTGGGGTCAAACCTGTTACTTTGAAATGGTGTCTTCTACCCATTTAAGTTTGTCCCTCATAACTCAAAGCTGATCACAGTAATTGACTTAGACAGAAACTGAATTCAGGTATGTGTTGATGTACAGGTGATTGTGAGGTATTTGATTGGTGATGATGTCTCAGCTTCACTCACCCAATTTGGAAAAACTGTGCTAACTGGTACTGCAAAAACCTGTAGCCTGTGCTCTTTCAAGAGTTCTTTTAGAAGGAGATTTAAGCATAGGGAATTATTTCAGTAGTGTGGGGCTCCTTCCCCTTCTGAGCTGAGGATAAACTAGTTTATCTAGTTTTTAAACTAGTTTAGTACTGCGTTTTCAGAATACAATGCTTAATACATTATATGTGCTCCCCTTTCCTTTATTATCCCAAGCAAAGTAGTAGAACTAGAAATTTTCTGTTTAACAAATCAAATTTTTTTTCTTTCCTGTTCTGTTTTACAGAGTTTGGGCAATTCTGCTACTAAGATCATAGTACAGGTAGATGTTCTTTCTTCATGGTCTTTGTGCTTTATCTCAAGCTCTGCCTCAGTAAACTATACAATGACTCATCTATTTGGGGATAAGTGAGTATGAATATCTTAAATCAATGGTACACAAACTACAGTGATAAAGTAGATGTGTTTCTGCAGTTAAAAAAAAGTGATTGTACTTTTTGGTCGTTAATCAACAGTCATTGCAACTGTTTTCTGTAAATACAAAACATGAAAACCTCTGTATTATAATTTCCCTGAAATACCACAAAATGACATAATGTATTATATAAATAATTGTCATCATGAAGTATCTTTGTATGCCAAAGTATTTATCACTGTGGCACATTGAGATGGCATAAATAAAGTAAGGAAAGACATAAACTCACTCAAACTGTCCTGTTTAAAAATAGTTTCTTAGTCATGGTACATAAGCAATTCCTCTTTAAAATGAATAACATCATTTTTTGTTCTGTATAGAGTGGACAAAGGCAGCAAAGCAGCGGTGCTACTTATGTTCAGGTAAGTGAGATTGAAAAGGAGTAGAAATATGCCTCTAGCTTTCACTAAAATAGGCTCAGAATAATGATATCTTCCTACACATATATGTAAATGTATTTCACAGGTTGCAGGTACTTAAGTTGCTTTGGGTTTTGGTTTTCTTCTTTTTTTGGCTGTAGTTATTGATTTAGCCCCTTTTGGTTAAAATATTCAGAAATGTATTTCTGTATGTCATTAGTTGAAGTGAAATGACTGTTCATCACAATGTGTCCTTTAAAATCTGTAGAAAAGTCGTAATACCATGTCAGAAGTGTTTCTAGGCTCAGCATTGCAAGAAGAATCCTATACTGGTAGATGCAGACCCCATGTATATTAGACCACAAATTTCCATAAGTTGTGAAGGGTGAAGAATGATAGTGAATCATAACTCCATACTTATGTGCAACAAGGTATTTCAGCCTTACTTCAAGCTACTCGTAGGAAGAATAAATGGGTTAAAATATTAACACAATGATAAAAAAAAACTTGATTGTGGAGTAATGCATGAGAATATTCTTGGTGTCAACAAAAAGATGAAGTATTCCAATTTCTTGGGCAGTGGTGGTGAGGGAGGACAGGGAGGGAAAAAATTGTCAGTATTATCTATACCACTGCAAGTAGTGAGAAGTTTGACCAAGGATAGCTCTGACTTCTGGAGCTCAGTGCCACAGACATCACAGATAGCACAACCATAAGGCTATCTCAGTGTAGGCCAGGCTCCCCAATTTTGCTAAAGCGAAATGGTCCCTTATGAAAGGATACTAACCAAATGGTTTCCTTGTACTAGGGTGGGCCAACCTACACTATCAGCAGCAGTTCGTATGGACAGGTAAGCAAACTGCATGTGTTCTCTAAAGTTCTTCACTGATCTCTCTTGTGATCAGTGGCACTGACAGATTCTTCAGTGTTTCCTTTGGCAGTCTGAGTCCCAGTTTTGAGTTACGGCTTTTGCCATAGTAGGATGATACGTTGTAGGGGTGATAGCGTACTACTCTGTCTCCTTTGGCTCAGGAGGAGTCTTGTTGGGAAACCTTTGTCCAGCTGTATTTGCGTAATCATTATGCACTTTATAAAAGCCTTATAAAACAATGGTGTTCTTGGACGAGGTGGTCATTTTCTGCTCTTTCTTAAAGGGTTCCCGAGGCAGCCAGTCCTATGGCCAGGTGAGGCTTTTTTTCTGAAATATGTTGAACTTTTCTGTAGGGATCTGCCTTTCAAAAGAACATTCGTTGTTTGTTGGCTTGAGGTCTGAGCATTTTTTGTCGTTTGTTTGCAAACTTGCTTGCTTTTTCCTTCTTGGTATTTCAGGGTAGTTCCTGGTTTTTGGTCATCTCACAGGATTACCATATAGGAAAACAGAATATAGAATGGAGGAAATCTATTGGGCAATGTTTTTAGTTTTTTTTTTGCCATAGCTTTGTTAAATCTATAGCTTTATTTACAAATGAATTCTTGCTTTTGTTACAGATCTCTCGGCTTCAACCTGGCAGTTCTTATGGCCAGGTAAGAATTAGTCAGTATATAGCATTTGAGAAAGCAGTGTCTCAGGCACTGCAGAACTTAAAATCGCTTCAAGTGATGTTTCTTCTCTGTTTATTTTGAGTTCTAAAACAAATCTCCAAATCCATTTCAAAACTTTTATTGCAAAAATGATAGTTGTATTTTTTTCAGTAGATACCTGCAAAAGCATGAGTTCCTGTCTCTTTATAATCTTTTTAAAAGGACATTAAATTTGAAAATTTATGGTAGAAATATTTTCCTCGGTGCTGTTTCTCTTCCAGTTGATTGATATGGTAAAACAAACTTACAGTCAGTTCTTCATTGTCCGCTTCAATCACAGAACAAATTGTTTAAGGAGTTAAAAAAAACATTGGTTGAGGTTCTCCACTGCAGGCAGACTTGGTCTTATAGTCTTCAGCTCTAAGATATGTCCTTTTATTGTTAATATGTGAATTAAAGCATTGTAAGGTAGATATAAATTTTTCTACAATTTATGTCAAAGTAGAAGAAATATAGAAGGTGATTCAAATCTTTTTTGTCAGTTTTTGTCTTCATAAGTCTCTCAGACAGCTGTGGCACAGCTATGCTCGTATATGAAACATTTCCTCTTTTATGACACTGTATTGAAGGTAGATTACGTGAGCAGCTAATAATTATTTGGTGTCTTTGTTACTAAAAGTTTTTTATAGGATATTAGCAGCCTTGACTAATTTCTTTGACCTGCTACTTTTATTACATCATTTTGTTTTCTTCATATTAATCTATATTTTTAATGGAATTTTTGGTAATTCCAAATATGCCACCTTCATTTTCCCAAAGAGGAAGGGAATTATACAACAGACCCCATCAAAAATCCGAACGTGTCAGCATTGTGGCTACCATTGGCCATCTAAGAAAAGCTTCTGAGAATCAACAGGCAAAAGAAACATCCAGAAAGTGTTGCACCCTTTAAACGTCCTGAAAAGATTCCACAAGCCTAGCACCTCATCTGAGATGTAAAACTAATCCATGATTGTTGTTATATACGTAAAGTATGCTGGGAAATTAATCCTGAATAACATACATCAAAATAATTCTAGTTCAAAACAGTAAAGTCTGTCTTATTCTTTTCCTTTTTCATAGAAGAGATAAAAGTGAAAGATGCATCTACCTCACAAATAAAATAATTTTGAATTGATTTCTTTAATTACAGGTCTTCCAGCCGCAAGGAGGTACTTCCTACGGCCAGGTAAGCATAGACAATCATCAGCCAGTATACAGCATCTAAGATAGTTGAGTTCTATGGCACTGCAAAAGCATTACCAATCACTCAGAATTTTAACTTTTTCTCTGATAGTGTGTTCTTACGTTTATAAATTATCTGCATGCTATTTATTTGTATGGAATTCTGGCATCCGAAATCATCTCATTCAGCATCATTGTGCTGGTCAAGCTGAACAGTAAGAAAAAAATTCACAGGCAGTGGAAACAAGGACAGATATTGTGGAAAGAGTGTAAGGAAGCTGCTAGGCTGTTTAGGGGTAGGGTCAGGAAAGCCAAGACCTGGCTTGAACTGAGCTTCGCTAGGGATGCCAAAAAGAACAAGGAAGGCTTCTACAGGTGCCTCAATTAGAAAAGGAAAGTCCAGGAAGTTGTATTCCTCCCAGTGAGTGGCACAGACAGGCTGGTAACAACAGACAAGGAGAAGGCTGATGTACTTAACAACTTTTTTGCCTCCATTTTCCTCGATAACTGCTTGTCACATGGCCCTCAAACATTTGGTGTGGTTGGAGGAGATTGGGGAAGTAACGTTCCCCAATAAATGAAGATCAGGTTCATGACCACCTGAGGAGTCTGAACATCCACAGGGCTGTGGGTCCCAGTGAGATGCATTCCAGAGTCCTAGGGGAATTGACTGATGTGGTTGCCAAGCCACTCTTTATGACTTAAAAAATCATGGGAAATGAGTGAAGTCCCTAGTGACTGGAAAAATGGAAGCATCATACCCATTTCTAAAAAGGGTAAAAAATATGACCCTGGGTACTACTGACCTGTCAGTCTCACCTCTGTGCTGGGGAAGATCACGGAACAGATCCTCCTGGAAGCTATCCTAAGGCACATGGAAGGTAGGGAGGTGATACAGGAGAACCAGCATGGCTTCACCAAGGACAAATCCTGTTTGATCAATCTGAGTGGCCTTCTATGATGGTGTCACTGCTTCAAAGGACAGGGGAAGAGCCACTGTTGTCATCTATCTCAACTTCAATAAGGCCTTTGACACAGCACCCTACAACATCTTTCTCTCCAAATTGGAAAGATATGGACTTGATGGATGGACTATTTGATGTCCGAAGGACTAACTGAAGGAATGAGTTCAGAGAGAGTTGGTTGATGGCTCCATGTCTGGATGGAGACTGATGTGTGGTATCCCCCAGGGGTTGCTGCTAGGGCCAAAACTGTTTAATATCTCCATCAGCATCATCGACAATGGGGTTGAGTGCACACACCACAGGTTTGCTGATGACACCAAGTTGTGGGGTGCAGTCAACACACCAGAGGGATGGGTTGCCATTCAGAGCGACCTAGGCTGACTTGAGCAGTGGGCCCAGGTGAACCTTCTGAGGTTCAACAAATCTGAATACAAGCACCTGACTCGAGACAACCCCCATTACCAGTATATACTGTGGATGAAAGGATTGAGAGCAGCCCTGCTAAAAAAGACCTGGGAATAATGGTGTATGGAAAGCTGGACATGAGCCAGCAATGTGCCCTGGTAGCCCAGAAAGCCATCGAGGACTGCATCAAAAGATGTATGATCAGCAAGTCAGGGGAGGTGATCCTGCTCCTCTACTCTGGGTTGGTGTGGCCTCACCTGGAGTACTGCATCCAGATGGGTAGTCCTCAGTACAGGAGAGATATAGATCTGTTGGAGTGCATCTAGAGAAGGACCACAAAAGTGATCCATGGAATGGAACAACTCTCCTATGAGAACAAGCTGAGAGAGCTGGGGCTCTTCAGCCTGGAGAAGAGAAAGCTGCCAGATGACTTGGTAGCAGCCTTTCAGAATCTAAAGGGGAGCTACAGAAAAATAGTAGATAGGCTCTTTAGCAGGGTCTGTGGTGATAGAACAAGAGGAAATGCCTTCAAGCTCAGAGAGGGTAGATGTAGGTTGAATATAAGGGAAAAAATCTTTTACAAGAAGTGTGATGAAGGACTGGAACAGGTTACCTAGTGTTGTGGTTGATGTCCTGTCCCTGGAAACTTTCAAGGCATGGCTGGATGAGGCTCTGGGAAACCTGGTCTAGCTGTGGTGTCCTTGTTTGTTGCAGGAGAGTAGGACTAGATGGCCTTCAGAGGTCACTTCCAACTCTAATGATTCTATGATTCTATGATTGTGATGTCCAGGAGGAAGTCGTGGCTCTTCATTCTGCCCTGCACTGGTTTAGGATGTAGCTATTTGGTTTTGCTAAAGCAGAATGGTCTCTTATGAAAGGATACTAACCAAATGGTTTCCTTTTGCTAGGGTGGGCCAACCTACACTATCAGCAGCAGTTCGTACGGACAGGTAAGCAAACTGCATGTGTTCTCTAAAGTTCTTCACTGATCTCTCTTGTGATCAGTGGCACTGACAGATTCTTCAGTGTTTCCTTTGGCAGTCTGAGTCCCAGTTTTGAGTTATGGCTTTTGCCATAGTAGGATGATACGTTGTAGGGGTGATAGCGTACTACTCTGTCTCCTTTGGCTCAGGAGGAGTCTTGTTGGGAAACCTTTGTCCAGCTGTATTTGTGTAATCATTATGCACTTTATAAAAGCCTTATAAAACAATGGTGTTCTTGGACGAGGTGGTCATTTTCTGCTCTTTCTTAAAGGGTTCCCGAGGCAGCCAGTCCTATGGCCAGGTGAGGCTTTTTTTCTGAAATATGTTGAACTTTTCTGTAAGGATCTGCCTTTCAAAAGAACATTCGTTGTTTGTTGGCTTGAGGTTTGTGTGTGTGTGTGTGTGTGTGTGTGTGTGTGTGTGTGTGTAATGTTTACCTTTTGTTTATTTAGTTTTGGTTTTATTCCTTGTTGGTGTTGCAAGATATTCCATGTTTTTTGGTCATCCCAAGATACCACATAGTAAAAAGTACACAGCTTTTCTGTGTGGTTTGAAGAGTACAGCTTAGTTTATTAATGGGTTCTTGCTTTTTTTACAGGTCTATCACCCACAAGGTGGCACCTCCTATGGACAGGTAAGTAGCAATTAATTACTGGCCAGGATACAGCATTTGTGAAGTGAAGTTCCATGGCTCTGCAAAAGCATTTAGCTGTCATTCAGAATATGTAATTTAAAGGAAATTTTCTTCTTGAGTGTAAAGTTCATTTTCATATAATAGTTACATTGCACTGAAATGTAATGCATACATGTGTTGTCCTCATATGTACATTGAGATTTTCGTGAGGTTTGTTTCTTGAAGTAACAGACTAAGTTGTCATTAGAAGTGAGATTTTTTTTTTAATATGGGTCTGGGAACAACAGGCTCAACAGCAACTACAGAAAGACTAAGGCCTTTCTCACATAGAAAGGAGTACCTGTAGTCATCTTACCTTCACAGGATTTTACAAGGAAATTCACAGCAGTTCATAGCTAGTCTTCATTCTTTTAAGCAGACAGACAGCTGAATTACTTTTAAAATTTATTTCATTTAAAATGAGGAAAAATTATATTTGAATTACTGAAGTATTTTGTGGTTTTTTTTCTCCCCAGCAGAGTGGGTCTTCTTCAGGTGGCAGTGGAGGTTGTGGACAAGTAAGTGCCCTTTCTCCAAGGTGTTTCAAAACTAGACTCTGCTTTCTATATATTAGTAACATTTTTCAAGAAACTGTATAATGTCTGTTAGTAGGAATCTTTTGCTGGTACATGAAAATATCTTAAAATATTAGAGGTCTACAAGAGATAAGATTTGTTGATCATTGTAACCAAAATGAAGTGGCTTCTCCTATATACAAGTACATGCAAGATGAACAAGTAGAAGAACATTTGCCTACTGAGCAGACAGATGTAACCGTTTTAGAGTGAGTTTTGGATGTTTCTCTATGTAGAATGAAATAGGTAAAGAAGGTGACTCGTTAGGTCAGTAGTTGATATCCTGGTTTCATTTCAACTCGTATTCTTACAGCAGTGTGAAGACTGTTACCAGTGATAAGATCCTAGGTGAAGAACAGGGCATGGATGCAGCCTTGACAGTAAATTGAAGTCCAGATGAATACATTGAGGAAAGCAGTGAGACTAATAGAGAGAAGTACCGAAACCTCTAGCAAAAGTATTAAGATTAGTACGACTAAAATATGAATGGAAATGCATGGATGAAAGCATAAGAAGCAATACAAGAGTCCTGGTGATATGTATCAGTGGGCAAGGATACAGTAACAGCAATGAAACTAAACAAATGTGAAGAAACACTGAAGAAAGTGTTGCTTCCACTAAAGCTGAATCACAGATGACTTAGCAGAAAAGCTGTGCTTTTAATAACGGGAGGGCAGCAACCAGAGTAGAACACATTGTACTGCTTCACACCTTGCAATTCCAAGAAGGATGCATGCAGCCAAAACATACCCGAAACAGGGAAATGAAAGGCAGTAGCCTTACCTAAGGTCTGTAATGAGTGAATCTAGAAAGATTCTGGGGTAGGGGGTCACACAGCATTGACTGTTGGCTCCTAAGTGGATTACCCAATGTAATCTTTGATGTTAATATTTGCCAATCAAGAAGAACTTAGATAAGTTAACAGAAGCATCAGTCAAAAAACTACCTCGTTTTTCCACATTGCAACCAAATAATCCTGCTTTCATTATCTGTGTTTTGATGCTTATAAGTAGGTGGATATGGAATGGAAAGAGGATAGAGCCACTGACTGAGTGGGTTAAATAAAATTAAACTCATTAAACTCTGTTAACTTTTTGTTTTGTTAGGAACTTTAACAAGAAAGCTTTTTTTTTTTTAATTTTTTTTTTTTTTTTTTTGACAGGGTACTTCGTATGATAGCAATCCCTGCCACCAGGTAAATAGACTTCTTCCTCTAATTTTAAATCATATCCAAAATTAGTTTTGCTGCTGACTCAACTGGTACTGACCTCAGATTCATGGAGTGCAAATCCATGCAATCTTTACTAAATGTGGGATTAGAGCTGATACACGGGAGCACCACAGGAACTTCATGTCCATTTTCCTATCCCCTTCTTTTTTCTTTTTCCCCTAACATTATGTCTGAATCAACTTCAGAGCTGCTCGAGACATTATATAACTGAAGGACAAAGCTCATAGTTCTGAGAACACATTTTAGGAGTGCCATTTGAATTTTGTGACAGTACTTCAACTCTTCACTGATTTTGTGCAGTGAGATATTGGTAGATAGTGTGTATTTGCTATGATTTTTTTACTGCTGGAACACCAAAAATCACTATCCTGTAAGATTTCTTTCATTTTCGAGAAGTCATTTATGTGAACGCTAAAAATCTGTAATAAAAACCAATATTTTTTTAAATTCCTTTTTTATTTTTATTATAAATTTTTTATAAGAATTTTTCAAACTTTTTTATAAAGAGAAGTTATTTATTTCTAAAACTAAAGTAATTACTTAAATTTTGTGCCTTCTAAAAATTGCTAGACATTGAAATATAGAACTTCTTTGGTTTGCTTCCTCTTGCTTTTTCTAGATGAATTCTCAGCCCCATTTTACCAAATGGCAAATATTCTACTTACATTTCTTACTTCACTTTGAGAAGTTATATCCCTTTTTAAAGGAGTTGTGTTGAAACATATGGAGTGTTTTATTTAAATCCTTTTCCTCAAAGCCCCTATATCTTGAAGCTTCCTCTGTACTAATACTGTCAGAGGAATTTTTTATTCCATACGTATAAATAAGGTTTTCTACAGGAGAAGAAAATTTTGCATTCTCTAGAAACTGTTCTGAATGAAACATACCACAGCTAGGAATTAACTAAGAACACGTTTGTGCTACCTTGCCGTGTGTCTCATGGTGTACTTACTTTTGCAGTCTTAACAATCCACGCTTACCAAGTTAGAAATCATACCTTCATTGCATATTTGCCTATGCTTTTTCTTCCTCTGAAAGAAAAAATATCATAAGTTTCATTAAATCTGTAGTCAAACAGTAAGTGTAAAAATTATGCATAATTTTTTGTTTAATTTACAGGATGGATCTCAGAGTGGTAGCCAGGTAGGCTGTTTCCTATTATCCACTGATCAAAACTGTCTAATAAGTTCTAATCCATAGCATAATTTTGTTGTTTATGAGGGTGTAGATTATTGCATAACCTCCCCATCTCCTTTAATTAATCCCCAGTGCTTTATATCAACACTGAAACTTACATAGAAAGGACTATATAACCTCATAAAGCTAACTCTGCATTGTTACATGGTTCAGCTCTATAAGTGTAATATCTGTTGCTGCATTGTTTTCATAGGGTGGATCATATTCCTCACAAAGCTATGATGGTAGCCAAGTAAGTACTGGGTTATTATTTCTTCTCAATGAGGTTTTATTTCACACAGATCCCATAAGCTCTAATCAATGTTGTATCTGTATAATGTTGTAATACTCAAATTTTGTTGTTCTTGGCAGGGTGGATCATCATCCTCACAAAATTATGGTGGCAACCAGGTAGGAAGAAATTGATTTTCCTTATGTCAAAAGTTGTTATCGTATCTGATAAGAAATTTTCGCCAGATTTGTTCTGCATTCTTAAGTGGCTGTTCTGTACCATGCTTGATTAAAATGCTGGAATTGCAGTTACTGTCATCTAGAAAGTTGTAACTGTCTAAAATAATCTCCAGCAATTGTTTATTATAGTTTTACAATGCCCAAATGAAATCACAATTTCTTCTGACGTTGGTTTTGCATTTGTTATTTTAAAGGGAGGTTCACAAAGCTATGGTAGTGGCCAAGTAGTGCTTTATTTTACCAATTACAAATTACATCCTACAAGTTTTAGCCTCTTCGTGAAATCAGGTTTTCTGTATCCTAATGTTCTCTGATTTTGATTGGTTGGTTTGTTTTAAAGGGTGGATCGTATTCACAAAACTATGGTGGCGGCCAAGTAAGTAGTGTTTTATTTCACCATTTACATATTATTTCCTATGAGCTTAAGCTTCTTCTCAAAAGCAAGTTTTCTGAATCCTAATATTCTCTGGTGTTGATTGATTGGTTTATTTTAAAGGGTGGGTCTTCCTTACAAAACTGTGGTGGTGGCCAAGTGAATAACACTTTATTTCACCAATTACACGTCACTTCCTACAGGCTTTAGCTTCTGCTCAAAAATGGGTTTTCTGTATCGCAATGTTCTCTGATTTTAGTTGGTTTGTTTGTTTTGAAGGGTGGATCATACTCACAAAACTATGGTAGTGGCAAAGTGAGTGAATGCTTCGTTTTTCTATTTATATATTGCATCCTACAAGCTTTGGCCTCTGCTCAAATTGAGGTTTCTGTATGTTTGTTTTCTCTGAACTTGGTTGTTGCTTTATTTTAAAGGGTGAATCATACTCGCAAAACTATGGTGGTGGCAAAGTAAGTGAACATTTTATTTCTCTACTTAAATATCGCATCCTACCAGCTTTAGCCTCTGCTTAAATTTTTTTTTTAATTATTGTAACTTTCTCTGATGTTTGTTGGTTGGTTTATTTTAAAGGGTGGATCATATTCACAAAACTATGGTGGTGGCCAAGTAAGTTATGCTTTATTTCCTTACTTACGCATCACATTCTACAAGCTTCAGCCTATGCTCAAAATCATGTTTCCTGTATCCTAATGATCTCTGATGCTGGTTGGTTGTTTCCTTTTTTTTTTCCTGTTGTTTTTATTTTATTGGGTTTTTTTTGCTTTTGTTTTTAAAGGGTGGATCATACTCACAGAACTACGGTGGTGGCCAAGTAAGTAGTGCTTTATTTCACCAATTACACACTACCTGTAAGCTTTAGCTTCTGCTTAAAATTGTTTTGTATTTTTCTCTGTAATGTAACTTTCTCTCACGTTTGTTGGTTGGTTTGCTTTAAAGGGTGGATCATCTTCTCAAAACTATGGTGGCAGTCAGGTAAGTTACTTTACTTCCATACTTATAAATCACATCGTACAAGCTTTAGCCACTGCTAAAAACTAGATTTTCTGTATCATTATTTTCTCTGATTTTTATTGGTTAATTTTAAAGGGTGGATCATACTCACAAAACTATGGTGGTGGCCAAGTAAGTATCGCTTTATTTCTCTTTTTATACATCAGTCCTTACAAACTTGAGCTTCTGCTCAAAATTGGGTTTTCTGTAACCTAGTTTTCTCTGATGTTTTTTGTTTCATATGTTTTAAAGGGTGGATCATCCTCCTCCGACAGCTATTATGATAGTCAGGTAACTACTTTCTTTCCTCTTATTTATTATTTCTTGCAGATTTTTGTAGATCCTACTTTATTGTGTCATCTTCTCTTAGATCTAATAAAGTGTAATGATTTCTATGCTCTTATTTCTTTCTCATTTTTCTTCTTCTGAAGAATGGAATGTTCCCTGTCAGCAACCATTACAACCATGTACTTGACCATTTTTCTTATTACAAACTTTAGCTCAGCAAGCAGTTTTTTGTTTTCATGAGCCTCGATTCTGTCTTGCTGAGTGCAAGATCAAATATCTTTTTAACTATCCATTTTACTGAGGAAATAACTGGATATCTGATGTCAATGTAGGATTCGCAGGATTTCTCAGATGATAATCCCAATGCCTGTGATGATGTGAGTATGCTTTCTCTAGTATATTTTCCTCACAACTCTATTCATATAGATGAGAAAATATTGCACTATGAGATGCAGTCTTGTGAACAGATTTACTGGAGGGAATATTTAGTCTTCACATGGATAGCTGCTTTAGCATATTCTCTTACTGAAAACCTGTGCTTACTGATGCATTTTGTACTTTTAAATGCATTTACCTTGATGAAATGAATAAAACGATTTCCATTGCTTTGCACAGATGTTTTTTTTTTCCCAAAATGTAAGGATACACTTTACACTAATTGAACAACTATAAAAATAATTACAAATTCCATAGACAAGTTTTGAATACATATCTTGAAAGATGGAAAAGAGATGAAGAGACAACATGATTTTCACTTTCTATTATTACCAATTTAAGTTTAGTACTAAATTATTTTAAGTCTGTACACAACATTAGAAAGAATTGAATTTCTGTGAGCTTGCTGTATTTAAATAATTGATCTTTCTATTTTCCAGAATGACACTACATATAGTGCTAATAGTCGGGTAAGGGTTTTTCTTCACCTATGGTGTTGTTATTCTTGTGATTGAGGACAGTGTTAGTAACTGATCACTTCTACTTTGGATCTATGTGTCTCTACTTATAGTGAATGATTAATTAACTTTATGAAGGGTATTATAAAAACAATCAAGGAGTGAGATTGATTGATGTTATATTTCTCTGTACTCAATTCCTTCTGTTAGTTCTCAAGGCTGCTGCACAATCTTCTAAAACTGCACAATACTTGTAAAAATGTACACTAGAGTTTTTATTAGGCCCTTCAGGATATAGACTATTCAGCACTTTGACTGGATAGCTATTTTGGAATTAACTATCTGTATATGCGAGACATGTCACTGTCTCAATCTTTTGCCACTAGTTTTAAATTAAACTTGCATATATGATGGTCTTCTGGGATACTCCTTCTGTCTTGACTGTTCCTTCTGTCCTGCAAGCAGGAATAGTGACTTAAGTGGGTAGATTGACCAAGCAATTATTTCATGCCTTCCGTTCATAGAAACTCATTTTCTCCTTTGTTAAAACTGCCATCTAAAGAAATCTTCTGTCATCATCTACTTTCCTTCTCTTCAGTTGTCAGCCGTATGCTCAACCGCTTCAGTCTTTTCCCTATTTTTCCTTTCTATTACATTAGTAATTTCTGATTATGTTGCTGTTCAGGCAAATATACTCAAAACTGGAATTGCTCTTTGCTTTCCTGTGAACATGTTGTATGGAACCTGCTTTAGCAGGGGCAATGAACTAGTTTATCTTCAAAGTCACTTCCAACCCCTACAATTCTGCGATTCTTCAAATATACTGAATTTAGTGGAGGAGGGACATGATGCCACACTAAAAACAGACTTTTCTATCTCACTGTTTATTAGGCATGCATTATGGTGCAGCTAGGTCTGAATTGAAACTGGTTGCAGAGGAAGAAATACACAGATGAGCTTTGCATTCCTATTTTTACAGTACAACGATTTTGGAAGATAAATGATGTTTTTCTCTCTTGCTCCAAAGCTAATCTACGAATGTTGAAGTTATTTGAAAATAAAACTATCTGATACAAATATTTACCACTGTATCATCTATTGAAAATGAGGCCAACCAAAATGTCGTTTTCAAGGAAGACATTTTCCTTTCCCTAAATATGTTATTTTTGACATTTTTAGATAGACTCTTACAGAAAGTACTTTGTGGGGATATCTCCATCTATAAAACAATAAATAGCTTCTGATTTCATTGCAGAGTTCTAGCTGTGTGAAGAGGAAAGTTGTTGTCAGAGTAAGTAACCCTTCCACTGCTTTGCAGGATTATTATCCAAATTATGCCTAATTTGTCATAATTATCCCTATTTTTTTCCCAAATTGTGTTTGACCTAATTAATGTTCTTGTGTTTAAAGATAAACTAAAATAAAAGAGCTTGTCCATTTACTCTTTTTGGATGTCTTATTTTAAGGTGTGTGTGTGTACATGCCTATCATATATATAATATGAAAAAAATACCTGACATGGAAACTTGTTATGAGATACAGGGCAACTCAAATTTCTGTCCTTCAAGAAGCACATACAGAATTCCTCTGAGCTATGATTAGTTGAAATTAATGAGTTTTGCAAATAGAGGGCAGTCAAGACATAGCTGAAGATATAATAATGAAGTAAAAACATAGTGCTTGGAAATTTGTTGTGCTTTCTGTTATATGAAGGACATACAGATACAGTATTATATACCTTCCAGTCGTATTGCAGTAGTCTACAAAAATTGAGCAAATTATCTTTTATAATAAGGCATTTCTACTCACTATGTGCATTAATGATCTGGAGTAATTATAAATAATAAGTACAGGAAAAAAAAAGGCTTATGGCTAGGCTCTTAATATCAAATGTCTCTCTTCTTACAGGATACATCACATGTTTTAAGCAGAAGAGATTATGATGTCCAGGTAACCATACTCATTACTTTTTATGAACTACTGGTGTTACAGCTACTTTAGTGTACATACTAAAAGAAGCATAAAAATTCAGCTTTTCTAACAGATTATTCTGTTTAGAGCTAGGTAGTTCTTTTCCAGTAGAACTGTGTATTTTACTTTATTACCCTCACTGAAAAATGAGTAATTTCTCATTACTTTACAGAATGAATCCTCTACTTCAAACAACAGCCACACTAACTACCAGGTAATAACACAGTGTCTACTGCGTCATCTTATTGCAGGAATCTTCCTCATAAGTTATATTTCAATTTCTGAAAATTGATTTCCACTAATTTATCTGTATTTGGCAATTTTTTTCCATACTGTTAGAATTTTACAGAAATGAATAATGATAACGGGCCCAGAATATAACACCTTCTGTGTTCCTACACTTAATAAATAATAAATCCTTACGCAAAATAAATAGTTTCAAAATCTGATTTTTAGAAACAAAAGCTAGTGAAGGATAATGGTCAGATATATATTCATGTTTCATCTGGAATTTGGTAACAAGATACATGTTGTGACTTCTGTTGCAAAAGTCTTCATGTTTTGTAGTGCTACCTATCAGTTTCTTGGAGGTCTGTACTCCCACTGTGCCCAGCACTAAATAGATACAACATTAGCGTAGTCCTTTGTTTCAAGGAGTTTAAGTTGATAATACTAAGATCCATGAGTTCCAATGAGTAGTACTTCTTTTTCATTAGTTTCCCTGGCATCCATTTGGTATGTATTTTACCCAGTCACTAAATAATTTATTTGTGAAATTTAATTGAGAAACATTAATTTAAATGTGAAAATTTACATTTTTGTAATGTTCCAAAGTTCTGAATGGATAATTTTGTTTAGTGTGGGGAAGTCATACAAAGGTTGTGGCCTTACATCTCACTGCAGTATTTTTAAGTCATTGAATTCTTTTCCTAGACATACTTTAGATCTGATGAAATGCTTCTATAAAAATGATTGTTTTCTTCACAGGGTGGATCGTTCATTGCAACTGGTGGTGGATCAAGTGGTCAGGTTAGATATTTCTCTATTGTTATCTGGTGTTGTCCAGATATCTTCTTGGTAATTTAACTAATTAAACTCAGGAGTTAAAGCTTACGTGCACTAATTTTGCAATGGAACTTTGGTTATATTACAGATTAAATTGTAAATTAAATGACCCTGTTCAGATTACATTTATTTGAAATGGCTCCATGAAATTGCTTTTTAACACTTTAAATTTCACGCATGGCTTATCAGTAAATGAATGCTGGTACTCTTGACTTCCCAGATTGCTCTCTTGATGAAGCATCTAAAATTGAGACAGCACTGAGAGATGTCATGTCAGTTTAACTTCTAAAGCTAACATTAAATATCTAAAACTATGCTGCCCTCTTATTCTTTTCAGTTGTAGGAAAGTCACAGCTACTTTGCAGTCCTCTGATCATTCTTCCTCTAAATATAGTTTGGCATATGAAGTAAGGCATCATTTCAAATTTCCATACATCAGCAACAGTTTCATTGTTTTTCTTTATAGGGTGGTTGCATTTGTCCTGATGGAAGCAGTGGTGTTAGACAGGTGATTCTTTTTCCTTAATTTATACTTACATCTACATAATAGAATATTTTAAATTAATCACCTTGTAATTATGGACACAGGTAAAACCAATTATTGATAATTTCCTAAGTATAGATAGAATTATATACAATGAAATGTAACTTTTGTTGTAAATGTGGCTTTTACTTTAAGTATGTAATTACCATTTGGCCACTAACTTTCTTTATCTGTACTTGGTAACACAAATGCTGTCTGTTGACTGCTACATGCAAATTTTACATTACTGTCAAAAAACCATGTCAGTATGTCCCATAGTAACCACAAGAATTAATCGCATTCAGATTAGATTCCTTGTACTTCTCACTTATCTAATAAAATATTGTGGAAAAAATGTCAAAAATTGATAAATATTTCAAATGTTCATCTCTTAAATCAATATTTGAAGCATTTCTTTCTCATAAAGAGAATCACTGCAACTTCACATTCAGTGGCACTTGTCTCTCAGGCAGTGCCTCTGTGTCAGGAAAAGGCTAGGAATTTAACCTAGGAATTAAATGGATATTATGGCTGAACTGGTTTCATAGTGCAGGTAAAGGTTCTTTGTCAGTGAAGTGTACTTTCAGCTCTTGTTCTCCAAATACAAGTGGAGCAGTATAAAACAAGTATTAAAAGGCAAAGAATAGGCACATTTTAATGAATTTTTTAAAATGAGATTTATTAAGGTTTAAATGTGAATACTTTTTTTTTTTTTTTTCTTCAAGGGAAATAATGGTTTTTCTTATGTGGACTAGAAAATTTGTCATGCTGCAGTTATCCCACTTTTTCTCCATAGTTTTTCTAAAGACAAGAACTCAGTCTACAAATTCTCTGAGGAAGCAGCCCAACCATAATTTTCTTGTCTGTTCAGCACATGAAGCAAATGTATAAATAATAATAGATACAATGTACTGGTAAATAGTGTTTGTCATTTAAGCAGTGTGCTGAAAAATCTGATCAATATTGTTTACACTTCGGAAGCTAAATATATTAGCAAATACCAAAGACATGGTCAGGGCCATGATCTGTAACAGTGTAAAGTCTACCAGGCATAACATACTATTCTACAGGTAGAAAGACTTAGATGAAAAGGTATTACTTTTTACAGGTCATTTAACCTGAAAAGACCCAGGAACAGGTTTCTTCATTACTAATGAAAATTATCAGCCTTCTCTTTTAATAATTGCAGAAATGTTCCTTTGGAGAGAAAATATTTTGGAAGAAGAGAAACCAAGAATTAGACTCATTGACTTGAATGTCTGTTTGCAATAAAAATAACTTGTCTTTTTTTTATTTTTGTTATTTTCCCTTCAGGGAGCCCCTGGTTCTTCATACAGCACATATTCTGGTAACCAGGTAAACATTCAGATTAAGCATCCAATTCAGAAGCTTCATATCAAACCTTTCCAAAAGCAGTAGCAAATATTAACCAGTACCCATTCTGTCCTCTTCTGCACAGGGGGGATCTTCCTTCTACCATGGAGGATCCTATGGACAGGTAGTTGTTCATCTAACCTTGTTAGGAAAACCCAGATCCCCATTATTCTGATTTCTAGTCTACCAGTACCATGGGAGCTGCAGAATATTGTAATCACAGACCAGACAAAAGTCTTTTAGAGAGGCTAAGTTACATCAACCCTAAAGCACCTAGCAGTGTGAAGTTTGACAGAATAGTATGCAATACAGAACAGTATGTGCAGTTTCTTGCAGAAATCATATTTTATTGGGTTGCAAAAATTGCTGCCAGAAGATTTCTTCTATTTTAATAATATTGATCTTAATTTTCATTTAGATACTAAAGATTCATTCAAAACTAGGAGAAAGGGTATAAAATGAAAATCAGGTGCATTCATCTTACCTGCAAGAAAATAGCTGGTCTGTTGTTTTCCTTTCAGGGAGGCCCAGGTTATTCCCACAGCTCTTATTCTGGAAACCAGGTAAATATTCTGGTTGCTGTACCAGCATAGGAGAAGTCTAGGCATCTTTACTGATCAGACATTTAAAGTATAAAACAATAACTTAATGTTTTGTGTACAGGGAGGACCTTCCTACTCTCCTGGTGGATCTTATGGACAGGTAAGATTTCTTCCTCTCTTGTAAAGTCAACAGAGACTCAGTATCTTCATTCCTATGCTCCCCATGTGTAGAGAGTGTCGGGAAACACCCTACTTAATTCCCAACAAATTAATCAACCATAATGTAAACTACAATATGAAGTCTGCCAGGGAAAACAAAAACAACAACAACAGAAACAAAACTAAATTGTGTTTAGAAATTCCTAAGAGTTGTCTCATTTTGCTGAGAATATTATTGCTATAAAGTTTCTTGTTCTTTAACAATTTTATCCTAAATTGAAGATCAGGTACATTTATTTGTAGCATCCTATTTGCAAGAAAATAGGTGGTCCATATTTTCTTTTCAGAGATTCCCAAGTTCTTCACACAGTGCATATTCTGGTAACCAGGTAAACATTCAGATTAAGCACCCTATCCGTCTCAGACCTTTCTGGAAGGAGTAGACAAACATAAACTAGTAATGCATTCTGTCCTCTTCTGCACAGGAGGGATCTTCCTTCTACCATGGAGGATTCTATGGACAGGTAGTTGTTCATCTACCCAAGGATAACCCAGATCCCCATTATCTTGATTTCTAGTCTACCAGTACCATGGGAGCTGCAGAATATTGTAATCACAGACCAGACAAAAGTCTTTTAGAGAGGCTAAGTTATATCAACCCTAAAGCACCTAGCAGTGTGAAGTTTGACAGAATAGTATGCAATACAGAACAGTATGTGCAGTTTCTTGCAGAAATCATATTTTATTGGGTTGCGGAAATTGCTGCCAGAAGATTTCTTCTACTTTAATAATATTGATCTTAATTTTCATTTAGATACTAAAGATTAACTCAAAACTAGGAGAAAGTGTATATAATGAAAATCAGGTGCATTCATCTTACCTGCAAGAAAATAGCTGGTCTGTTGTTTTCCTTTCAGGGAGGCCCAGGTTATTCCCACAGCTCTTATTCTGGAAACCAGGTAAATATTCTGGTTGCTGTACCAGCATAGGAGAAGTCTAGGCATCTTTACTGATCAGACATTTAAACTGCAAAACAATAACTTAATGTTTTGTGTACAGGGAGGACCTTCCTACTCTCCTGGTGGATCTTATGGACAGGTAAGATTTCTTCCTCTCTTGTAAAGTCATTGAATTGCAGAATCGGAAGGGACTAAAAGAGATCATGGAGTCCTACTGTCCAGTCAGCACAGACTTCCATAAGTCTGAGATTAAAAAGATTGCACTTTCTATTTTCTGTTCAGGGAGGTTCTTCTGTCAGTGATAACGGAAGTGAATCCTATGGTCAGGTAAATCCTCTTTTTTTTTTTTTTTTTTTTTTTTTTTTTTTTTAATATTATATATATATATTCTATATTTTGACTCTCATGTTTTAACAAAGATATATTTTTTTTAAGGAGTGAAATTACATATACTCTATATCCTGGAAGTTTACAGGAGAGTATGCAAAAAGTGAGGTGTTTCCAATGGTTGCAGCTTGATCACGACAAAACTAACTAGAACTTTGCATGTGACAGAGGATTTGGAACTGGATGACCTTTAATGTTCTTTCCAGCCCAAGCCGTTCTATGAACTTTGAGTTATCAGCCAGATGAAAGTCTCTGCCAAATTGGAAATACAGTTAGTTCTAAGAATTTGCTAAATTAGTATGTTAAAATTAGTTTCTTACAGGGATATATGACTGAGTTGCTCAATATGCATTCTGAGAACTCAGTAAGTATTTGTAGATTTTAAATCTCCCCAGAAAAAGATGCCTACAGTTGTATGCTTCTACAATGAAATCTCTGTTTGCAATGTGAAAATGATTTGTGTTATCTGAACAGGATGGATCTTCCGCATATGGTGGCATTGGACCTTATGGTCAGGTAAATATAATTTATTTTATGCATCAAAAGCTGAAGGTTGGTTGCTGGTTCTTACGTGTACTGCCTTCTGTATTTCAATTATTTTTAGTGATGACCGTCTGATACTTTCTCTTTCTCTTTTACTTCGATTTACTTATCTACAACTCCTAATATTTTCAGTAATGGAGGGAAGGTGGTGCACTATATGCTATATGCACTCTCCTCCTTAATATGCTACTGTCAGTCCTCTTATCAGTACTTTTTTTTTTTTTTGTCTTAATGTTTTTGCATCAGCTCATTCAAAGGAGAAAGTAATTTGTGAATTTACTTGACACACCTTATTGTGCAGAAGCCCAAGGGGAATGGACATACTGTTTATAAGTCTGTATTTATTGATGTGGACTTTATTATAAAACCATTTCATAGGGACTACTATTTTTTTTTTTTTTTTTTGGTAAGCAATATGTTTTAACCACCCAAAGACATGTAAAATCATTTATTTAAAAATAAGACATAATCTAGGAGCTTTTCTTGAAAAGATTTTTTTATTGCTACTTATATTGTAGATCCTACAAACAAATCATAGAAAATGAGTTTTTTGAATGTAAAGAATAGTTTATTTCCACAAATCAACTTTATCTAAAATGTTTCCTGAAAGAGAACATATTGACAAGAAAGTTTTATTCTGTTCTTGTATGCGTGTGTTATTGTTGTTTCTTAACCTTCTCTGTTTAAGCAGTAGGTAAAGTAGTATATCTTTTAATTTTCTTTTAATGTGTTTCTACTATTTTGCAGGATTCACCTGCCATGGGAGTTAGTGAATCTGATTACAGTGTAAGCAATCCTACTCAAGTAAATTAATCTCAAAATTTACTGCCTTTTGAATTCACTAGGTGCTAATGTGGACCTTTACCTATCTCATAACCTTCAAGAGTTCTTTTACAGCATATTCTAATAATCTGTGTTGATTAGTAAGTTTCTGTAAGAACTTCTTGAAATAATTGTTGTCTCTATAGATTATTTAGAATTCCATTTTCTTTTATGTCTTTTTCTTATTTTAAAGTATGTTAAGGACTTGACACATGAACTTTACAACAGTTCTGATTTGTAACAATCATACATTTTTTTTATATTGCTTATTAGAAGTAGCATGTGCTAGGGAACCTCTTTTCCTTTATTTCATGTTTTCTGACAAAGTTCCACATTAGTATATGCTCACAATATACAAAACAACCAAAAACAATGGATTATAATAAGACCTCATTTCTTTATTACTCTGTATTGAATATCTAACTGAGAAAAAATAAATGCCACTCCCAGAATTGAACAGACAGTGAAAGAATGCTGCTTATCCTACAGCCTCCAAATTTAACTGTCCCAACAAGTCACACAAACAAAGCAGTAGTTTTTGTCACCTTCTACGTAAACAAAACTGAAGTATTTGCATGAAAAATCTGGATTCTAATATTTTACAGGATTCCACCTCGCCATCTTACAACCGTCAGAGTGAACGGGTAAGCACTTCTTCATGTTACTGTGTTCTCTGCCCCAATGCTTTTAAGGACTGGCAAGTACTGGCTACTTGAATGCAGCTTGTGTGGAAGCTGATATGGCAGTCTTCAGACAAAGTCCTCAAGCTAAGGCACAGAGGGAATGAGGCTAGGGCTGAAGTGGCTAAGGACTATGAAAAATCCCAGCCAATGGCTGAAGTGTACTCTTCAATCTCAGACTCACCACTACAAACACCATGCCACAATTTACTTGTTCAGGTTCCTGTGCATTTTTGCTCATGGTCTTGCTGCAAAAGGCTTCCATACTATAGCATGTCCAGCATTTATTCTATGCAAAACCCTGTGCTTTCTCGTGCTTCATGCTGTTTTATGAGGACTTCCATTTTCCTCCCATTTTTACTTGGCACTCATTTTATTAATTCATATGAGAATTTAGTGACTGGGAAATGATTTTGATGGATGTACAAGAAATTGTCATTATGTCAAAAATATCTTGTCACCAAAAGACCATTTAACAACAGGGACAAAGAGGCATGTGCTGTTCTATGTAGAAAGAAATTTTTCTTTTTCTTGAGCAGTCCATGAGAGAAAATTAAGGAGTGTGGAGACATAAGAAAGAACATTCAGCTTCCATCATGATCTTTCCATAATACAAAAGAAAGGAAGTCTTGGTTTTTTTTCATGTACTTTCAATACATTTTTCCAGGATTTTTATTCCCCTGGAGGCAGCCAGTCAGGTGGACATGTAAGCATCTATTTTATTCATTATTTGCAGTTCCCTCCCCAAGTGGCAGTTCTATTAAAAGTGATCCTGACAAGTAAATTATGCCTATTTGTCTACTTCTAGAATTTCTCATGACATCTGTAATCATATCTTGTGAAAGAAATGATAAATTTTATGAAAAACTATTTTATAAAAATGTGTATACAAGTATTCAGCAACACAATCTTGTTTTCTAGAAGCCATTATAAACAGAAATAAATAGAGTCTATTTTTGCAGGGATTATCTTCTCAAGGTGGTGGCTATTCTGGTGGACAGGTAAATACTAACATTCTGTATTTTTCACTTGAAGTATCTGTTGCACACACACATAGAAAGATTATTCTGCATTACAGAAAATTTTTTTATGAGGAATATTTTTTTGTGTGTATGTTTAAATACTTCTTCCTTGTATAGCTTTATATATAAATCCAAGTGTAAGCAGTGCTACACTATGCTAACATGGAATGAATGGCATTCTGATGTTAAGAAACAAATGAAAGTGATAAATATTATTTATAATGTGCATCTTTAACATACAAAGTAAATATTTTTATTTTTTTCAGGGCTCGTTCTCATCAGGAACCAACCAGTATGGTGGGCAGGTGGGAAATTTATTTTTTTTTAATCTCCCCCAGTACATGTTTCAAGAAAATATTGTAGAATTGATAATGCCCAATTTTTTGTACTTTTTTTTTTTTTCTTTAGACAAGAGTAGATTCATAATCTTATAGATTATTTCAAACACAGTTTGTAGAGTAAAAGATAATATATTTTGGTCAGACAAGTCAATCTTAAAGATGATCATATAAATAAAAATATAACCATTTTACAGGGTTCACCTTCAAGAGGCAGCCAATCTGGTGGACAGGTATGCTTTATGTTCTCAACGCCATTCAGCCCTGCTAGTATTACAGGCACTCTCAGTTCGCCTTCTGTAGCTTTGCTTCATAAGAAGTGCTTTTCCTCACCGCTGTCCTTCTTGCCCACAGCCCAAGTAGTATGCTGTTCTCTTCTGACGTGTCACTCAGAGATCCCAGAGGCTCAGAGTAGCCATCTGTCTGAATGTCAGTTGTCTTTATCTTCATACCTTCTTCATCCATGTTGCGTTTGAGACACCGAATGGCAAACCTCAGCCATGTCTTATTTTTATCAGATTAGAAAGCATCTTGCAGGCCTCCACTGAAAGTAATCCTTAGTGTTTTCCACAACATCTGTAGCATGTATGAGTTCTGCATGTATTCCAGCTACTTTAGCTTCTTTTAGGGGAGGGAAACAACAAATTATTTTTCTGTAGCACTCAAACTTTTCATTTCCCTTTTGATGAGTTCAGTTCATAAGGTAATGATTGTAGATAACAAATTTAAAGATAAAATTAGAAAGTTTTACCCCATCAGAGCAGTAAGTGCAGGAAAAGTTGCAGACAATGAAAAGAATAAAAATAGATTATGTTCTAGAATGCACTTTTGAGCAGATATGAATGTAACTTTGTTTGCATAACTGGATTTGCTTATGAAATAACTTGAATTGTAACCAGAGTCCATTTTGGTACTGTTCTTGAGAACTCAAAATATTTTCTGCATTCTTTACAGGGTGGATGTGATTGCTCTGGTGTAAGTTCTGTAAGTGTTATTTGTTTATTGTATGTTTTTGTTTTTTTTATTGTTATGTTTTTATACGTACATGTATGTGTAAGAGAATGTTTATATGATTTGGAAAATTATCTGTAGGCCTATTTATTTCTAAGTTATTTAATTATCTATTTGAATGTACTGTTCAAATTTATATTCATTATGCCTTTGGTAACAATATGCATCACTGACATGATAGAGTCTGTTTCTTATGCCGAGATTTCACATGTCTACAGCTGACAGCATGATGTATTCTCTGAAAAATGGCTGTCTATTGCTATGAAAGTATTTATAGAAATGTATATATACTTCTCCAAAATAAATAACTAAATATTTTAAAGAAAGGTAGTAATGATTTTCCTCTAGAGTATTTGAAATCTGTTAAATACAGTAATATATGGTTTTCAAAGCAAGTAGTATGTGGTCAATCATCCTGCTGTATATAAAGGACATTTGCACACTTTGGGTGGAATTCTTGTTTTCTAGGTAATCAGTTATGGGTAGATACGAAGCAATTCTTTACGATTTACAGTCTTACAGGGCACAGAAAGACTATTGGCTATCTTGGCAAATTACTGAAAGTGAAATTTAAGTGTAACTCAAGTTCAGATTGTCATGTTCTTTCTTTAAAGGAACACAGAAGAGACATTCTAAGGTTTTGTTTCATTTTTTGTTTGATCAAAGACAAGGGCTAACTTTTTCTGTTGTTGCTTTTGTTGTTTTATTTTTCTCCTCCCCTACAGAGCGGATCATCTTCCTCACTCAGAAGTAATTCCTCTTCTAATGTAAGCAGTATTTATCAGCCTTTTAAGGGTACCCTGCGTTTGTTTTGTCAGTATAATAGAGAGATTAAAAAGAGTTAGCATTGAATAGTCATACACTTCTAAAAAATAACCCACTTCAGTTACTATAAAAAAATATACACAGAACATTTTTGCATCTCAGCTTGTCTTTCAATCTGAAATAGTGTTCATTCAAGCAGAAGTCTTTGAATGAAAAACATTTGGCAGAAACACAGGTGCATGTCAATATAATTATTTATTTAGGGAATCAGTACTACTGCCTTCTTTGAAATCATGTCAAATCATGTCTTATGGACACAGATTTTTGTTTGTATTCCTTTTCCGTCACTCATTGCAAGAAAAAGATTAGCATTTCATAAGTCAGCAATTTCTTGATGTTAACCTCCTCGTACAAATGAGAACTCTTTTACAGGAGAGACCTGTTTAAGAATCTTCAGAATCTGTTCTGTTCCTCATGCTTTAGAAAGTCACACCAGTACATTACTGGCTCCATATGCATGGCACTTAAAGGAGAAAAAGCACTTGGATCTTTCTGTACCTAGCACTGAAATCTGTGTCATTATTTTCAGACTGCTAGTTGATATAAAGCCAGATTAGACTCAGCTACATGAGTGTACCATACAGAATTAATACTGTGTGATAAATAAAACTAGCCTTATGCTTTCTTGCAAGAAGGAAGAATGTGTATGTATCTACAGTCAGAAAGTAATTCTTATCCTTCATATTATTGATGGTGAGATGTGTTTTCTATGGAACTACCTGTTGGGTCTGAGGCATTTTTATACTGACTTGGCCATCTTCAGATGTCAGTCCTGAATCAGGGATTATGTGTAAGGAACGAGGGAACATAGTGGCTACGTATCAACAAGTACTGCAGATTTATGGAAACAGGTCTACAGAGTGGAATAGTGATTGCTCAGAAACTGATGTTCACATGTCTCAGGAAGTTAGATCTGATCCAATGAACCCAAATGTCAGTTTACTATTGGAAGGCAACCCTAGAGAACGTGCTGAAATTTAGTGTTATCTGAACAGCATCCAATTTATTGCCTCTGAGTACTCTTCCTGATGCAATCAAAATTGTAGGAACTAGAAACTATCAGGAATATTGTGTCAAAGTTGCACTCCTGATCCAGACTACAATGTATAGATGTTCCCAGTACTTCAGCAAGGAAAAGTGGCTTATGTGTACCTAAAATAGAGCTTAGATCTCCCCGGAATGTATGTTGCAGTCTATCTCAGAATGTTGTCTCTTAGTATCTTCTTTACAGTGCAGTTGGAAAGCCATTTTTGCAGACTAAGGATTCCTTATTAAGTATACATTATTGATAAGTGCTTAGCATGATGTACTAGCCACAAAACTGTCTCATTCCTTAGTGAGCTTAATAGATCTTGTGGAAAAGCAGCAGTACTCAAAATACAACTCTGCAAGAATGGATATTAAAAGATTTTTGTGAGTATGTTGTTTTAGCATGTTCACTAATTTTAAACTGAAAGGCATAAGCTACCTATCTTCCAGTCAGATTCTTTGAAGGAAAATAACTGATTTTTTTCAAAGGGACTGTGGAGGCAGCCATTCTGGTGGATAGGGGCACATAAAATTCTAGATGTATTAGAGAGATGTATGTACTACTGTCCTTCAAGAAGCCTTCCTTCAAAAAACTTCTGTTATGGAAAAATAACTGATTTATTTTTCTCAGGACACATCTTATTCTGGAGGAAGCCGTTACAGTAGCTATGTAAGTAATCGTTTTGAAAGAAGAGCCAGCTTGCCATTTTGAAGAAGTTTTGGTTTTGATGTGGGAACTTTATTTGAAGAACAAAAACTCAGTTAATGAAATTTGTCATTGAGTTTGATATGTCAAATAGTTGCCTTTATTTTTGTGGAACTTGCCTACTGTAGCTAATACAAAAAAAAACAAAACAGATGTGGTAAATAATGAATGGAAATACAGCATTTTAGATCTCAAGTCAACTTTCTTTCATTAAGAAAAACAAAAGATAAATCCATTCTTCCCTCTTCAAGGAGATTTCTTGCTGTCTGACGTGTCAATAAAATTACTTGATTTGATTTTCAGAGATCCCTTAATTAGCCAACCCTTTCTTGCTAACTTTGGCCTTGACATCCAGGTTTCCAAATAAATAAATGCCACTCTCCCAGAAGTGAGCAAAGACAGAACTTGAAGGAATGCTGCTTTATCCTCCAGCCTCCAAATTTAACTGTCCCAACAAGTCACACAAAGCAGTAGTTTTCATTGCCTTCTGCTTAGACAAAATTGAAATATTTGCCATGAAATATCTGGATTCTAATATTTTACAGGATTCCACCTCGCCATCTTACAACCGTCAGAATGAACGGGTAAGCACTTCTTCATGTTACTGTGTTCTCTGCCCCAATGCTTTTAAGGACTGACAAATACTGGCCACTTCAATTACAGCTTGTGTGGAAGCTGATATGGCAGCTTTCAGTGCAGGGTAGGAAGTCCTCAAGCTAAGGCACAGAGGGAATGTGACAGCCAGAGACTATGGCTGAAGTGTTTGAGTACCATGAAGAATCCTAACTGATGGCTAAAGTGTACTACTTGAATCTCTGACTCAAAATTACAAGCACAGTGACATGGAAGAGGTGAGGATAATACTGAGCTTGATAATTAGCAGTGACATATGGTGATTTACCAGAAATAAAGAATTTGATTTGTGGAAAAAAAAAGCCTGAAAAACAGAAAACAACCCATGTCAAGGCAAAAAGGCTTTGTTTGTGGAGCCATGCTTTTTGGCTTGGTGGTAAAGAAACTTGATTTAGGCTGAATAATGTTTTGTTTTACTCTACACTATCTGCAGGTAGAATTTCATTTGGATATGTGATTTTTCTCCAGTAGATTATCTTTCATCAGGTTAGCACTTGCCTCAGAGGTATGTAGGGGCATGTGCTAGATTATGCGCAAATAATTTTTTATTGTTTCTCTTTGAGAGAAATGGGGAATCTGGAGCAGCAAGGTAGAAAATAACTTTCATCAAGATATTTACAAAGACAGTGAAGTCTCCTTATTATAGCTGGGTAGCAATAGATCAAGTGCTGTCAGGATTACAATGGCATCGTATTGTATAGTTATCAAGGAAAACAGAAGCTCTTAAAATACAAGAGTAACGAACAGTATGAGTTGGCAATTCAATGTTTCCTGAAGTGATAGCATGAGCCTTGAAATCTAGTAATTAAAGTATGCTGAAAGTCTTGCTAGTTGTCTTCACTCTTATCTTGCTCCTGTTGAGAATCATGTTTTAATTTAAGAAATCCTACAGCAGATAACTCACGTCTTTGGCATTTTTTTACAGGAGTCATATTCTTCTGGAGCTAGTCAATATGGTGGACAAGTAAGCTCTTACTTTCAATATTTCTAATAGTATGATATGTATTTTACCAATATTTTACTCTTATGGAGTAAAACATTATCAAGATAAATATCTCAGTTTAGTGTTGGGAAGGCCTTACAGTGATGTATTCTCTGTAGTGTATTAAAAGAAGACAAAATGCAAAGTTTATTCTGTGAAGATTACAAAAAAAAAACCACAATGAAATAATAACATACTGATATTTTTGCTTCTGATATCCATCAATCATCTATGCCATGTGAAACAGAAAAAAAAGATTTTTGATATTTTTCCAGGGATCACCATCTTATGGAAGCAGCCATTATGGTGGACAAGTAAGCATTAATAGTCCCCTTAAATATTTTTTACCTATGCATAACTTCAGTGCATTGATTGTCTACCCACCTGTCTACCTTAACTAAATGTAAGTTAGTCTTAAGTAAACCATTATTTTAGCATTGTGGTTGCTACCATGATTAAACAAAATAAGCTTAGATTAAGATATTTAAGATTAAGAAGGAATAGAGAGTAAATCATGTGGTTGACTCAGTTGGCTCCTGACACTTGCAGAACTAGGTCACAAAATTGTGTGCGAATACAGTTCCTTGGGGTAATGTGTCACATCTCTCTGAAATAAGTTAGTACTTCATAAGGCTGATGAAAAATGTTTAAAGCCTCACGATATGGATAAAAAGAAGTTTCAGTTTCTTTTCTGTTGATGTTCAGGGTTCACCTTACTCAGGAGGCAGCCAGTATGGAGGACAGGTGAGAAAAAATACAAAAACTGTGACGGGCCAGTACTTCCATTATGTTACCTTAAATACACCTTTAGCCTTGTTCTACCTTCTGATTTACTCTCCTCATTCTAGAACATATTTGTCTTCTGCTACTGGTTCCTTAGCTCTCTAATAGTGAGGAGCGGCTGGAAGTGGGTTATATTTCTCCTCTACCTCAACCAATGAAATACCTCACTTCTCTCAGAGCTGAGAGAGAGCTGGCATCAGAGAAGTGATGTGCCTCAGGAAGGGAACAGAGGGGCAGGTTAAGTGTTTTTAAGGGAAGGTGGTCTATGCTCTTACGGGGTGAAAGAGGATTGAGAGGGATCCTAGTGTTGTCTTGTTGTGTAGCCTTTCTTATACAGCAAAATCCTCATCAAACTGGCACTTGGCTTCTGCAAATATTTCTTGTCAGATTTATTGGAAAGGGAATTAGAAGATAAAAATTTTCAGCCAAGTAATTTCCCTCAAAATGCAGCTATGTATAGAATAATAACAGCTCATGGTCACCTGTGCTATCAGTGTTATAGAAGATTCATACATTACAAACAGACCCTAATTCACATAGGACCCAAAAAATAATATGATGATTGCTTTTCTATAATTTTTCATTGTACAACAGAGAAAGAAAGTAGCCTTTCTTTCAAAAATTCTCAAAGAGCCCTTTTGATAGAAATAATTGGTTTCTTTGTGTCAGGGTCCATATTCCTCAGGTGGCAGCCAGTATGGAGGACAGGTGAGAACTGTTTTTCCTGCATGTGGATTGTTGTTCAGTTGTTCATCTTTTTCTCTTCTTTTCTGTGGAAAAACAAGGTCCTTTGTAAAGGCTTGGCTTAAAGCAAGGCACTGTTCAGGCAGAACGCGTGAATGTGACACCTTCTGTGACAGCCCATGCGGGAAAATGAAACACACAAATCTGCCCTGAGCAGTGAGTCACTTGCAGATAGGCCATGCACAGTTGCCTGAAGCTGCTTTAATTTACACTTTCTTGTCCTGTTTTAAACTGCGTAGCAATTTTAAACAATAAGTCAATGTTTTAAAATAGCTGTAAAGAAAGAATTCTTATTCCAGTGGTGTTCAAATCCATGGAGAACAAATAAAATTGCATTTTTCAATAACAGGCTATACATTTAAGAACATGCAATAAATACAAATGCTTTCCTGTTTCTTTATGGTATGGCTCCAACAGGAACTGTCTATTGCAGTAGGCAGTGTAGCAGACAAGTTGAACATATCTTCATGGTATTTGCAATTTGGTAAACAGTTCATTAAGAAAACTGACTGTTCTGTACGTTTTTTTGAGTGGGGAATTAAAACAACATTCTGAGACAAAGTAGCTTTAAGCCAAATTAAGTAAAGATTGTGAAGAATAGATCTGTGTGAAAAGTCATGATATGAGAGAATGCTTTAGGGGTCTGCTTTGCTGTAGTAGAAATGCTTCCTTAAGCTGATTTGTTCAAATGATAATTTTTTATTATAATTTTTAAACAGAAGTGATTTAAAAGTTACGATAAGTGAGAATATTATTCAGTAACACAGAAATAATTTGTTTCTTTTTTTTTTTTAATTCCAGGGCTCACCTTCAAGAGGCAGCCAATCTGGTGGACAGGTATGCTTTATGTTCTCAACACCATTCAGCCCTGCTAGTATTACAGGCACTCTCAGTTCGCCTTCTGTAGCTTTGCTTCATAAGAAGTGCTTTTCCTCACCGCTGTCCTTCTTGCCCACAGCCCAAGTAGTATGCTGTTCTCTTCTGACGTGTCACTCAGAGATCCCAGAGGCTCAGAGTAGCCATCTGTCTGAATGTCAGTTGTCTTTATCTTCATACCTTCTTCATCCATGTTGCGTTTGAGACACCGAATGGCAAACCTCAGCCATGTCTTATTTTTATCAGATTAGAAAGCATCTTGCAGGCCTCCACTGAAAGTAATCCTTAGTGTTTTCCACAACATCTGTAGCATGTATGAGTTCTGCATGTATTCCAGCTACTTTAGCTTCCTTTAGGGGAGGGAAACAACAAATTATTTTTCTGTAGTGCTGCTCAGAATTTTTTTACTCACAATTTTGGTGTGATTTTTATTATAAACTTAAGCAACAACTTGGAGTAAATTAAAACAAACAAACAAAAAACCATCAGTCAGCAGGCGCACAGTTTGCCTGGAGGGACAATAGACAGAAAAAGAAGCTAATTTTCAGGGGGTGTAGTGTGAGTCTGTTTTAAGTTAATTTTCTTGCAATAGCAAAATAAATGTTTGACTTAATTCAAAATCTTCTTACGTTCACGTAATTTCTAGAAAATAAGTTTGTTTGTTTTGTGTGTAATACAGGGTGGATGTTACTGTCCTGGTGGGAGCCCGGTAAGTATTCTTTGTCTTTCTATAACTTTCTGAGTAATGTGTAACTAGGAAGTTCCCAAGGAACCACCTTTCTTCAATTAACTTTTTCCAGGAATTTATGCAAGTGCGGTATGTTTAAAAAATTAAGAGTTGTTGTCATGTTTCTGTTCACTTAGTACTTGGAAGTTGGACTAGATGGCTTTCAGAGATCCCTTCCAACTCAAAGGATGCTATGATTCTATATTTACCATACTTTTGTAAATATTAAAAAATAAAACAACACACCTGCTTTGTTGGAATTTAAGCTGACCATGATTCAGTTATCTTTTGTCAAAATTTATTCCCTTTCTCACATTATGAAATCAAGCAAGAACATGCCATGATTATACCGAGTATTAGAATTGTTGAAAACTGCACATAAACTGTCAGCTTATTTCTTTTTGCAAGCAATATGAAAGAATAAGGACTAGCTGAAATGAAATCCTTTGCTTGTTTGATCAGCAAAGTAGAAAAGTATGCTAGTAACCAGTGCAAATAACTTCCTCGGTGTGCTAGGTCAAGTTGTTCTCCTATGGTTTCACTCTACCTGAAACTGATTTTTTAATGAAGTAACTATTGCTATTTTTCGTTAAATACAGGGCTCTTTTGGAGGAAGCAACTACCATGGTGGACAGGTAAGTAAGCATTTGTTTGTTTGTTTGTTTCACCCTGATACAGATTAGATAAGTAAGTGTGGCTCAGTTTTGCAACGTTTGCCCAGAAGCAATTGAATACTGAGCTTAGTCACAGAAATAGGAACAGTGCTTTCCATAAAGTGTATCTGGCTTTTTATTGAATCAGTCCCTTTACATTTCTGTTATATTTTTTTATAAATATCTGTTGACTTGATTGAAAACAAAATTTTAGTAGTAGGCAAAACTGTAGTTTTAGAAGCCTGCTTACTTTGAAAAAGTAATTGAAATAATATTTCACAGGGTTCATCTCTTTGCATAAACCATTAATATGGTGTGTTGATTAAAGAGCTATTTGCCCCTCTATTAATGACTATGTAATGTTCTTCTGGTTAATTGGTGCTGTAAATGTTTGTTAGATTAGGTTTAACTTTTTGGTGCCAGGTAGTATTAAAAAGAAAAGAAAAAAAAAAGCCTAATAAAAGGTGTGAGTTTCACATTTCTTTTACAGGGTTCTTCTTATTCTGGAAGCAGTCAGTATGGAGGACAGGCAAGCAACTCCTCTTTCAAAATGTTCTTCCTACCTCTTACTTATTAAATGAAAAATATTATGCTGTGCATTTAACTGCCAGAAAGTTTTTCAGTCAGTCATTTTATGCTCACTAGGTGTCTGAAAGCAGGGACTGTTAGTAACAAACATGAAATAGTGCTGATAAACTTAAATGAAAAGTAACTCTATAGATTGCAATTTCAGTTGTTTAACTCTAGAGTGCTACTTTAAGTGATAATTTAAATATCCATTTTCATGTTTCATTTTCACATGGCTACAGCACCAAATTCAAAAGCTATTTTCTGTGTTATTTTTCAATTGTATTAATTAGTAATAATTTTTGCATTTGTTTAGATTTAATACACAGAAATATGATGCAAAACAGACCAATATATGTTGCTTTAAAAATAGAAATTTGTGTGTGCTCCCCATAATAATAATACTTTGCTCATCTTCAGCTGCAATTCAAATCTCTTACTGTAAGCATCTCCTTATATATCTTTTGTGGCTTAGTAGTTTGTCACAGAATGAGAAGTTTTACTGCCCCAAATAGGCATCCATTATATTTGTTAGCTACCTAATAAGAAATTGGAATATATTTTCCATTGATACTACTGTGATTCCAAAGTTTCATCCAATGATACTAAAAAATAGTCCAATTTCATTTTTCTTCTTCATTGCTTATTTGAAATAATTAGGAAAAAAATCCACACAAAGTTCTCTGAGTGCACACCTCACCCAGGAGAGATTCACAGATAAAATAGAATTTCTCTTCCCTTGCAAAGAACCATCCAGAAGGATGCTTTATGTCCAGATATTTCTCAAAGACTAGTCTTAGCAGATCTTTGTGATTGCCAAATGTACTACTTTCAGCTGTTAAGCAATATAGAAGAGTTATGTCAGAAGTGATTCATTGCATCTTCTTAGATTAATACACTTTGCACATTCCTGCCGTTATCTCAGTCACAAGGTCTTTCTGTGATGTTTCATTCTGTGCAGCATAAAAGAGTAACCATTGTTATTCTGCAAATGCTTAAGTTTCCTCTGGTTTTGTGTTTGTTTTTTTTCTTCTCTTCTTAACAGGGATCTTCTTACTCAGGAAGCAGCCAGTATGGTGGGCAGGTAAGTGAATTCTCTTCCCATCACTCCTAATGCTTTTTGTTTACCGTCTGAGTCAGTTATTTGATGCTGAAATCTGTATTCGTTTTCCTGAGCCTTTGAGGTAAATGGATATAAAAAAATTTGATTAAAGTAGTTTAAGCAAGTTGAATAAAGTAATTGGTTAGAATCAATTGATTGCTCCTCTGTGTAAAGCATTTCTTTCAAGCAGTGTTTCAAAACACTGTTTTCTTGATTCAGAATTATATATTGCTGTTGTTTTGATGTGTAGTGGATAGCTGTAGCTTTAAGTATCCCAATCACATTTTGTTCAAACAGCAGTCAAATTAGTTTGTGCTAAGTATGGCACATGTCTGAATGGCCTGAAGATGGTGATAAAATGTTTTGGATTCTAATAAAAGGTGTTTCATTTTTTTCTTACAGGGCTCATCATATTCTGGAGGCCGACAACATGGTAAACCAGTAAGTAAAAACTTGTCAAGTTTGCCTTATATTTTTCTCATAAGAAAGGTATTTAGTCATCATTTTACTCTGTAAGTGGACTTCTTCTGTCATTCTCTAAATTTCTTTTTTAGTAATTACAGAATGAGATCTTTAGTTTTAATAGGACACTTCTTCAGAACAGTTATTTCTGTTTAAATTCAGCAATCTTTGAATTCATTCAGTAAACTTTGTGTTCACTTTTTCAATTATTTCATATGCATTTGTCTTTGTAAGTATTCCTGCCTTTCTTGGGAAAAAGTATTTTCTTTTTGAAGGTCATAATAGTTGCTACTTTATTACATGTATATTCATATTTTCATTTTAAGCTTTTCAACCACTTACTTTAGATCTTGTCATTGTGTGATAGGAGATGCAAAGAGTTAGCTTTTCTTATAGAAAGTAAGATACATCCACCTGTTGGTTAACAAGGGGACACAACGGCTCCATTTTATTCCACCTGAATCACAAAGGGGAGACATGTTGTGTACCATATGAGATGGCATTTCTTACAAGTCAGTGGTTGTGAGATTTTTTGTTGGCATTTTTATTCAAATAAGCAGAACTGCTTCACCAGAAAACTTGTTAAGACCCTTGCAGAATATCTAGCTTTTCAGTATTCACTCTTTTTTTCCAGTTAGATTCCTTCTTGAAGCTTTCTTTAAGCAGAAGAGTCTAGGCGGACTGCCAGTGTTCTGGGATATTTGTAAACTTTGAGCACTACTAATCTTGCTTCTGTAAAGAGAGAAAAAAAAAATGTTTTCTCTTCTAAAACTGCCTTTCAAGGGTCTGCATGAGAACTGGAGCACAATGCTAATGTTAAATGCCTGAGAAAACCAGATAATAAATTAAAATTGGAAAATATTGTTTAATCTTGAACCTTAGGATGAAGATGTTTTCATTCTTCCCTCTAGCAAAGATATCTCTGTACTTGTTTGAATAAATTTGATTGGATAATTTTACTACAAATGATATATTTTAATATTAGGGTAACTATTTCAGTTTCAAATTGTGTAGTTCAGCCAGAATTATGCATTGCTTTGCAAATCATCTGAAACTGCTAATAGAATTAAAAAAAAGGGTAGCTGTACTTATATGATTCCATTCACTTAAAAAAAGCTGCAAGGAAAAATGTAAAATGAAAATCAGTAACAAAACTAGGGCATTTTCAAGGCTAATGTGTGTTCTTCAAACACAGCTCATGAGGAGTCTATTACAATAGAACTAAATGGCTTATTATTATTACTTTACAGGGATTCTCAGGAAGCACTTATTCTGGAAAGCAGGTAAGAAAGCTTTCATCACAGCGTTTTCTTCTTTTCTTGGTAAACAAAGAACCTAATAGATAGATGGTTCATAGAGCAATTTATGAGTGCTTTGGTATGCAGATAACATCGTATATTAGCTCCTTCTCGATTAAACAATATTTAAACAAACTGCTGTGAAAAATATGGCCTTAACTTGGGAAAACTATTTGAGTATCTGTTATATTCTAAGTCTGAATCTGTCTTGCTTTACGTTGTGATTTGTGGGCCCATTACATTTTGCTGGCCTCCAATTTTAAATTCCTGTTCTCTAAGTAGATTTTGTAGGCCCTGCTCTGTTAATCCTTCACTGTTGTTTTTATTTTATTTTTTTTTAATAAACCAGATTCTTGAGTCTTGCAATGACATTCCACTTATTCCTCCCCCGCACTTTTTAATTTCAAGTATAAGACAGGATGAAGAAAATGTGTAACCACAGAGTGTACTTTACCTGTCTAAACCTACTGCCTTCTTAAACAGCTTAAACTATGCTCTGGGTTAAGTTGTTAAAATTTTATTGATTATGGACAAAAGTGTGTCTTCAGAAACACAGAGTGGTAATGCTTCTGGATTTCCTTACTTGTTATTTGTTTGTTTGCAGCAACCACCTTCCTCAGGGGGTAGTCAAGTGGTAAGCTTTTTCTGCTGGTGTCTTCAAACTTGTATTGTAGAAAAATTAAGTATTGTTTATATTTGTGAAGTATCTGTCAAATTTCCTGTATGTGAATAAGTATTTTAGAATATGTGAGCATGTGGGAGGGCTGCTCCAAAAGTAGTGCCTCCTATTTAATTATGTTGGCCCTTGATGTTGGAGGCAGTGTTGCTGGTATGGCAGTAGAGGGTTGAACCTTCCCAAAAATATTCTGTCACATTTTATTGCCATGTTACAGATGGCAGCAGAGGGACAGCCTGACAGAATGGTGTCTGCCATGGAAGTACATAGGAAACAAAAGTGAATTTCTCCATGAGGAAAAAATGGCACACACAAACAATTGTTGACACTTGCTGAACATTCATGGAGACTTTTATTGTTGACTTTTATTGTCAGAAGTATCTACGTAGTAGAAGGATGTAACAAGTAAAAGATTTTTTTTAAAACCGACTTGTTTTTAGTAATAGTAATGAGTAGATTTGTTTTGAATTTGGCTTATCATGCTTGTTCTCTGCTGTTATAGAGCTCTGCTGGGAAACACTCCAGTCCCCAACTCCTGCTGTTGTTTAGCATTTTGAGTGCCTTCGCACTCTCTGCTGTAACATCAAAGTGGTCTGTGTGAACATCAGAAGATTTGCTCGACATCCTGGACGTGGATTATATGCAGTAATATTAGATTAATTACTTAATGTCAGGGAAAAAAAAAAAACACAAAAACACCATGCAGTCAAACTGTCAGATGTTACTTGGGCTATCATGTTCCATGTCTGGTTACTATGTCATATCTTTCATTAGTTTCTTTGGGTTTAGTCATTAGTAGATATCATTACTTTTGTCAGTGTTCTAAGCACCATTTTAAGAGAGCGTATTGTACCCTAGCTATATGATTTCATTAAATTATTTTTATGTCCAGTGGAAAATGTGATGAACACCTACCTGAAAACTGATTGGTGTGAGAAACAGTTGTTTAGAAAATACTTGGTTAGTAACCAACACAGAATGTCAGACAAATGGTTTTATTTGCAAAACTTAATTTGAGCACTGTCACTGCCCCTTGCTGCATACAATAAAGATGACCTCTAACTTCTCGTGAGCAATCCTACATGGGATGGCAAAAAGGATGCTAAAATAATATCATACTATCGGCTTTAGTGGAATGTAAACAAATGCATACCCAACATGGAGGTTGCACAGCAAAAAAAAAAAAAGCCTCAATACGATCTTCACCATTTGGTTGACAGTTGTTTCTTTGGTCTACGCACTAACGTTCTTTTAATTTAAGCGTCCGCTCTGAACCGGCATTGCACTTCTTTAATAAACCGATGCTGGCTTTCACACGAACCCCCCGCGTCCCTCGCAGCTGCAGCGGCGCCCACGCAAAGGACCCTCGGCGGAAGCGCTCCCGTGCGTTTCGATCCGCGTTGCTAGGTGGCCGCTGCGCTGGCGGCGGGCCGCGAAGGGCGGCTGCGGCGCTGCTCCCGCCCTGCGCGCGGGCTCTGCCCTCCCGCGCTCCGCCGGAGCGGCTCGGGGCCGGGTGGGAGGCACGCCGTGGCCCTGGGAACGGAGCGGGCGGGGCCACGGCTGCAGCCGGAGCCTTTGCGGGACGGCACCCGGAAACGCCCGGTGGCTGCGGCGAGCCGGGCCGGCGGTGAGGGGCGAGCTGGGAGCCGGCTGGGCCGCGGGTGGGAGGTTCGGTCAGGGAACAGCGGCGGAAGCCGGCCGGGCCGACTTGCGCGGGTCTGGGGGCAGAGGCCTGAGGGAGGCCTGGGGTGTGTGGAAGCGGGAGGCGTCTGGGCCGGGGGGTGAATGGAAAGCGGGCTGTTGGGAGGGCTGGGGCCGGACGGGGCGAGAGAGGGGAACAGCGGGACGGAGGGGGAGACCGAGAGGTGTCAGTAAGCGGCATGGCCTGGGCGGGAGGGCGGGAGCGGGAAGGTGGGGCTGTGTGGAGGCAGCTGGCCGCGGGGCGGGGCGGCTCACCTGCCCGGCTCCTTGCGGTGCGGCGGGGTGGGAGAGCTGCGCGCTCAGGTGTGTGCGTGGCATCGCGCTGGGAGTTGGACTTGAGAAGGGCTCCAGCGGTACAAAGCTCAGGGCTCAATTAAAAAAAAAAAAAAAACAAAAAAAAACCCACACCCTAAAATGCTAAAGTAATGAATGAGATATGTGTTATGAAATAGAATGGAAATTGGAAGATAAACCCCAAAAGGTACTAACTGCAAGTTGTGTCGTATTTTAGTGAATTCTGTAAAGTATGTTGTAAACGTGACAAGCAGTTGGAAGCCAGAGCAGAGTTTTGCAAACTGATTTGGTAGAATTTTAGAGATTGAAGCTGTTTTCTACAGTGGAGGGCTGTGTTATCTGAGGTGTAAGCAGTGTATGCAACAAACTTCTACAAAGGAGCACCAGAGTGGGAAGCTGGGCTGGTACAGTGCCTCTGTGTAGAAGGATTGGGATTAAAGGTAACCCTTACTTCTCAGAGAACTGCTGTGCAGGCTGATAGAGTGGGCTTGGGAACAAACAGTCAATTGATAAAAAATCTAAAATCCATGGGGCTGCCCGTCTTCACAGGCACTGCACATTGCTGTTGGCATGTGCTGCAGTGCCTGTGGGTCTCACCTATTCAATTGTTCCCAGCAGAGATCTCCATAAAAGCTGTAGCTGTGTAGACATCTGCTGGAGCAGCCTGGCCTGATGACTTCTGCTGGGCTTGGTTGTAGCTCAATAATACGCACTTTTCTTTTACATAGGAGTAAGCAGCACCATATAATTTTTACAGGCTGTAGCGTGAGTATTAAGCACAGGATAGCTGTTGATAAACTGATTTGCAATAATCTGTTCCTTCAGAAAACTGTAATTTTTTGTTCCATTACGTATTGTTAGGCATTATATGAACTTGTGGTGAGAGTTACAGTTCTGGGAGACATGGATTTGCTGGTTTTGGGTGCGTGGTGTTCAGATGCATGGAAGCAGAATGTGCAGTGAAAATGCAGGTTTGAGAACAGACTGTGGTAGTAGCAAGTATAAATTTGATTTATTTAGAGCAACGTATTGTTTGAAGCTGCTCTGTGTCCATTACAGGCTGCCTTTGTGGCCTAATTCCTTGTCTTGGTTATCACACAATCACAAAGGTTGGAAGTGTGGGACCTCTGGGGTCATTGAGTCCAACCCTCTGCTGAAGCAAGAGGGTACTGTACTCCCTACAGTAGGTTGCATAGGAAGGTGCCCAGGTGGGTTTTGAATATCTCCAGAAAAGGAGACTCCTCTGTCATTCAAAGTAAAGAAGCTTTTCCTCATGTTTATATGGAACTTCTTGTGTTCCAGTTTGTGCTTGTTGCCCCTAGTTCTGTTGCTTGGCACCAGTGAAAAGAGCCTGGCCCTATCCACCTGGAAACCCACCCTGTAGATATTTATAAGCATTGGTAAGATCTCCCCTTGATCTTCCCTTTCCAGGCTGAACAGCCCCAGGTCTCTCAGCCTTTCCTCATGCTTGAGATGCTGCAGGCTCCTAATCGGCTACCTAGGTGAATAAAATCACTTGTCTGCTTAAAATAGTTCAGGTTTTGGCTTTGTTAAATGAGGACAACGCATTCTTGATCTTTGGGACGGGTTTGCTTGATGTATCTTCTTCTCTCTTATTGTTCTTCAATTGCTTGCCACCATGGCTTATTCTTCATCAGTTACCTCAGTTTGTGCCTGTATGTGTGGTGTTTCCCACGGGCTCAGTGACCCAACTGGAGCTCAGGGATCTGCACAGTTAGCTTGGGGGGAGGGGGATTCTTAAGACGTGTACCTCTTAGGAACCAGTTTAAGAATGTAAGATGGACAAGAGATTGGAGTTTTTCCGTTTGAAAATTTCTACCATCTTGTCTTCTGCTCAGACCCTTTCTGTTCACTGTTTAGCTGTCTAAACTTATTTGTAATGGCTGGCTTTCTGCAAGAACTCTACAGACCTGTTTTCACTCTGTACTCAAGCTATGTGGCTGTGTCTGGAGGTGGCTGCATTGCCTGTAGCACACAAAATCACAGATCACAGAATCATAGGATGGTTTGGGTTGAAAAGAACAATCATGATCACATAGTTTCAACCCCCTTGCTATGTGCAAGGTCGTCAGCCTCTAGACCAGGCTGCCCAGAGCCACATCCAGCCTGGCCTTGAATGCCCCCAGGGATGGGGCATCCACAACCTCCTTGGGCAGCCTGTTCCAGTGTGTCACCACCCTCTGTGTGAAAAACTTTCTCCTAATATCTAACCTAAACCTCCCCTGTCTCAGTTTAAAACCATTCCCCCTTGCCCTATCACTATCCTCCCTCGTAAACAGCCTTTCCCCCTCCAGTTTAGATGCTCCTTTCAAATATTGGGAGGCCACAGTGAGGTCTTCCTAGACCCTTCTCTTCTCCAAGCTAAACAATCCCAGTTCTCTCACCCTTTCCTCATAAGAGAGGTGCTCCAGCCCTCTGACCATCTTAGTGGCCCTCCTCTGGACCCGCTCCAAGAGCTCCATGTCTTTCGTGTACTTGGGGCCCCAGGCCTGGACACAGTACTGCAGATGGGGCCTCACAAGAGCAGAGTAGAGGGGAACAATCACCTCCCTCTCCCTGCTGGCCACCCCTTTTTAAATGCAGCCCAGAACATAGTTGGCTTTGCGGGCTGCAAGCGCACACTGCTGGCTCATGTCCAGCTTCTTGTCCACCAGGACCCCCAAGTCCTTCTCTGCAGGCTGCTCTCAGGGGGTTCTTCTCCCAGTTTGTGTAAATACCAGGAATTGTCCCAAACCTGGTTAGTGGTTCAGAAATAGCTGAACTGTGAGCTGCAGTTGAACCCCAGCAGTACTAGGCACTCACTCTCAGCACCTCACATTGAGCTATGCCACTGCCTTGGAGCGTCTGCAGGAGCTGCAGCAGAGCAGCGCCTGGCTCATCTCAGCCTGATGCTGCACTCCTGTGCTTGCAGAAGAATCAGGACTTGAGCTAAAACCCAGAACTGAATGGCTTCTTGCACACTACCTGGATCTTTCCATACTGTGATCTGTACAATGAATGCAGTGTGTGCACTGTTTGAAAAAGAGAGGCAGGTTGTATCAAATTTCTGCGCTGGCAGGCAGGCGCTGATGTAATAGCCTAAGTCAATATAAAACTATTGCTCTACTGTGCACATATAAGAACTCATTTATCTTATAGGCAGTACTGATGTCAGGTTTAGTTCAGTGAGGGCCTGCATTTTTGGAGCACTGAATATTTATGCTCAGTATGTGATTTATTTAACACTCATCTAATTAAATTCTCGTCAATCCAAGAAAATCTTATATCTGGGTGCTTAGCTTTGCTGTGAAGGATTAAGTTTGTGTTGGTTGGAGTTCGTGTTAGCTTTGTTGTTGTTGTTGTTCTTCTGGCAGATACAGAGGGGTTAAAGAGTATTTAGCCACAGTGAAGATTTTTATTACATTTAAGATTCATAATTCCCAACTTTGCTTTTTTATACATAGATTAGAATTGTAACTTTTTTTCCATACAAAAATAAAACAAAAATTCTTCTGTAGGGCATCCAAAATAATCAGCATTTCAGTACAAATTGAAGAAAACTTGACCTGAGTCCCAAATAAGTTGAAGCACTATCTGGAAACAGGTGTTAGTTAATATGTAATTGCATCTTTCTTGTTGGACTTGGCAATGTCAGTTTTCTGTCGGTGAATCACTGGTACAGCTTTCCAGGGTCCTTTGCCCCTGACCTTAACCAAAGTTAAGAAGAAATCACTGGTTGGTCTTCAGCAGTTACATTTTAATGTGTAACCCATCTGCTCTTGCTGATGTTAAAAGGTCTCAGTGTGGTTGTTGAAAGCCAGGGTTCAGAGTTCTGTCAGTGTTCTGCTGTGTCATACTTGACGTATTCTTCTCATCAAATATTATTTGAATACAGGAATACTTTTTTATTTTCACAAGATTCCTTTAAATGTAAATTGAGAAATTGAAAATGCTACTGTATGAAACCTTCCTTTGAGAGAGAGAAGAAAAAAAACAACAAGATTGTTACTTTCTGCTAGAAAAGACAGGAGAAAACGGCGCTGGTGCATTTAGTTTTTGTAACGCCTAAAAAGAAAAATAGTACACATTGTAAGCTATCAAGCAAGGAGAATGAGTAACAAACTGAAACGCAAGAGAAAGAGCAGGGTAAGTACTAAAATGAGGTGTTTTGCAGTGGTTTAGTTGAAAAGTAGTATGTGTGTGGGAAGGGAGCTGACAGTTACAGTTTGCTTATGGGAGGAACAGTAGAGAAACCCATACCTGGTCAGAGGAAGATGGAAAACGGTGTCAAAAAGTGAGAGGGTGTGGGATTCATACAAAGCT